CCTAGCTACCTTTTGTTTACACCACAACAACATATTCTTGGAAGAATACAGGTAGAATCTCGGGTAGAATCATCAGAGAGATAGGATCAGTCGTCATTCAATGATATACAGGGAGTTTTTTATCTATTTGCGGAATAATAACTCTCGGGATAACTTTATTCCACCCTGTAAATAAACATTTCTTCCAGATCATAATTCCTTGGATGTTTACAAAGGACCAATGAGGTGCAATTTACGTTGATCGCCCTGTAGCGACACTGTAGGTAAACTTTTTGTCAATTTCTCAAAATAATGATAGAAAAAAACAGTTCTGACCTGAAAGTACGTGTCAAAGTGAAGGTCTTCAGAAACCACCATGAAATCAATAACAAATTTCAAAACAAAGAACACCCAACGATGTTAATGAAATTTAGAGGAAACCCAGCCTTCTGTGATAGACTGATAGATTATCGAAATTCCAAAACAACCGCATTGTACCCACATAATCAATTCATTTGTTTGTCACCAATAATAATTCATCTTTGTATCGTTCCTTATCAAGCAGGCGAGGGTGGCAGTAGGTTCAATAGTAGACCCTTTTAGGGTCGATATTTCGTCACCATCGCCCGTATTCAACTGATAAGCAATTAGAAACGTTCATGAGATAACAAGAACAAATCGAAATCTCTACAAAACATACCAAATCACTATAAAATCCATGATAACTTTTCGTCTGTTTTATTTTCAAGTAGGCACTGAAACCGAGCAAGATGGAAAATCGACTATCTTCATTTGTCTACCAAAATGACAGCTCAGAAGACTTTCTGAAAACTAGGGTTGTTTGTTTGAAAAAAATGCTATTAAGACGAACGATTCACCGCACTCGCCTGGCGTTTCTAAGAGATGTCGCTACGGTTAACAAACTGTGATAAACATGAATAAAAATCCAACATCGAGAAACCGATGTAGAATTCTCTTGTTTCTTCATGTTGACGATGTTAGTATTATAAAGATTTTCAACAGGTGTCGCTTCAAATATTTAAAGCGCCCTGATACCTAATTATTTCCACATTAATAAAATTATGCAAATGAGTTTTCAATCTAATATAATCCTAAATTACATTCGATTTGATTGAGTGTCGAATTTTCGGATGCTCCTTCCATTTTGGGTTCAAATCTGAAGCGCATTCTTTCCACGAACCTGTATTTACTTCTTTATGGGCTTTGTTTTTTTATCGCGGAAGACACCGATCGAGCGACCGGTTAGTTAGGAGATATAAATATATTATGTTATGAAGCTGGAAGTAAGTGTGATGACTATTGTATAGGCACTGAGGCACTATTACGGCAAGTAAAGAATACTTTACAGGGTTGGTCTAGGCGTGGCTGATGGTAGCTTATTCTTGAAATATTTTTTTTATCTTTCGGAACGCTCGAAAGGAAATAATGTTCAAGGAAGAGCGCACGTGCATTGGGTAGAAAGGGAGAGCAGGTAGGAAATTGAAATTGCTTTGAATCTTATTTGGATATGAAAAATAATCGTAGATATGATAGAACATAAGTAGATAGGATCATCAAATACCTTTTTTGGTATATAATAGAAAGTTTGATTATTCAATGTATTATTTAAAATTAAATAATAAAATTGAAAAAAAAATATTTAATACTATTATAATTTAATATATCATTACTTCGAAATTCTAATATTCAATAAATACTATTCTTGATATCAAGGTCGAGAGAGACATCGGAACTCCTACCTATAAACCATATCTGCTTCTTACCGTATTTCACATGTCGATATGAGTGAAGAAATAACAATATCATTATATAATATAAAATATTCCAAATAGGTATTGATATTTTCCTGGATATCCATATTTTAGATATCTGGGTGAAACGGCGGGTACTCTCAGTTTATAGAATTTACAGAATATGTTGTCATTCAATCAGCTCTTGAGCCTAAACGGCTCTCTTTAGCAGAAATATGCTCGGAACATTTCTTGTAGAAAATTTCTTCATCTAAAATTTTTATGTCCTCATATTTTTTCTGAAAACGCACCGTTTTGGAGATATTTTCAAAAAACCGTTTTTGAGCGCCATCTTGGCAAGATGGCGGCGCCGGCGGCATGTCCCGGAATGTGCATTTTGTGAATTTTAGTTCTGGTTACCCAAAACTATAATCCTACAAAGTTTCAAAACTTCCGGACTTTTTTCCAGGTAAGCCTTATTTTGGATCCCCAATGACTGAACACCGAACGCGTGCCGCGGCGATGTTTTTTTGCTGTATATGTCTAGAGTGAATTTGCAAAGACTAAAATAATACTTATATATTTTCACACCAATTCCCCGTTTGTTTTCTATTAAAATGGATTCACCATTATGTTTCTCTACAAATTATTGATTAGAGAAATATTTATTTACTTTGAACAGATTTTCTTCGAATTTTCTTCAATTGATGTCTTGTCTCAGTTATTCCGTCAGAAAATATCATCTTATGGAGGCAAATAATTCTGATATCATGATCTGCTACTCCAAATCAGTAGCACATCATCAGTATTTTTTTTCTGTACAAGCACTGTTCATCATAATATAATATCAAATTGAATATTTGGTCCATGTTTTCAAAAACAGTTTAAGAACCCTACAATATATAAATCTCAGTAATTAATCGCCAGTTAATCAATTAATGATCATTGCAGAGCCTCATGTTGAAAAATTGGAGTGATAAGATATATAAAATGAGGTCTTGTGTATATTTTTCCAAAGAACCGTAGTAGAGATTCAGGATATTGAAGACTTGAAAAAATATGAATTCGATATCATTCACCTCTCGAAAAAAAATTCCTTCGATTGTCTTGATATTTGATAAGTTCTATTGAAATAACAAAATGATCAGAATTTGTTTTATCTATCAAAAGGTGTCATAAGCACCGGATGAGTATCAGAATCGAAGAATATGTTCCACCACTATTTTTCTGAGCTGAATGCCTCCTTATTTTTATTTGCTTGAGAGAAATGTATGCTTGGATTTTGTCATAATGTTATGTGTAACACCGTGCAGATTTTGTTGAAAATAAAATCATAATGATATTTTTTTTTTCATTTAATCTGACATAAGCGCTTCAATAACGATAATTAATGTTTTTACTACCGACATTTCCAAAGATGCGAATATCCAGAATCTAAAACTCTGAAAGTTATGAATTTCTTTTTAATACTTCATATGTCTATGAACTTTTATGTCACGATCTCCCATACTTCCATATTTCAAAATAAATGATATTCAACCAAATTTTTTTATCTGCTTTTTCACACTATATCATGAAGGAGGATAATAAGATGATTTAGGTATAGAAAACTACCTACCGTTGCGGGTGTGCTGTGTGATAAAGATATAATAGTCGATTTACGATTTTTTTGAGAAAACCATCTCAGAACTACCATAAGATTTTTTAGATAGTATTTTGTTTTTCAAATAATCGAGAAAACCAATATGTTGCGTTTTGACCATCCCCTGTATCTCCGTTATTTGAAAACTCACGACCGAGCTCACGACATTCATAATATGGGCACCATATTGTATTTTTATTGCATTAAATAGAAATTTCAATCCTCCTTTCAAAAATGTATCACTATAACATACCATATTCTTCTGAACGAATACATCAGAAATAAACGAATCTGAAAATTCCCATAAGAAAAAACAATGCTACTGTCATTATCTCGAAAACGCAGGAAGATATTTCATTGTTCTATTCTTTATTCAAAAGTTCTTGAAAAAGTGCTCACGAAATGTCTGAGCCAGAATGCCGTAAGTTTTCAAATAACAGAGATACAGGGGATTGTCAAAAACGCACCACTTTGGTTTTTCGCAATTATTTCAAAAACAGAAAATGATCGAAAAAATCTGATGGCAATTCTGAAATAGTAATAGAATTCTGAGAAACATTGCTCATTTGAACGACTGTGTAGCTCTTATAATAACCGAGATAGCAATACATACAGCACCAATCTGGGACAAAGTGTATAGCAAAACAACGTTTGCCTGGAATATAAATAGCGTTTCATTTCACCCTAAAATGCCCTATGCTTTCAATTTTATAACCGTACCACCCGTACTGACCCTGACCACCGCGCCCAAGTGGTTCTAAAAATAGATAAGATGAGATAAGTAAAATGAAAATAACCAGCGGGCCAAATCAACACCCGTATACATGCTTGCGGATTCGCCGTGGAAGGGGTTCTGAATTCTCTGCCTACCGCCGTCACCCTCTCGCACCTCATTCCTCAGGTGATCGCACTAATTACTTTTTTACCATAATTATAGTGAGTTACCCAGTAACAGGTAGAAGACTGTGATTATTTTTCCGTAATGTGAAATTCTCAACATGTTTCATGGTATTCTTCTTTATTCTGAGCGCCATCTAATAATGATAATTAGAATCAAAATTTTGCAACGCCATCTATAAGACAGAAGCTGAACTAATGTACCCCTGAATAGGCCTGAATTCAGACACGATTTATGTAGGTCGCCACCAATTATCGACGCCATATTGTTAATTTTGGATTTTTTCCCGTTTTCTTTGGAACGGTGTGATTTTGGAAGCCAGAATTTGGGCAGGGTATGGCATTTTAGTGTATCTAGGAGTTAAACCAATTTTCATTGAAATCTGTGACACAAAATTTCCCAATGTTTACATTTTTCAGTCATCGCCTGCTTTCTTCAACAAACGAGTTTGATTTCGAAAATTACTTTAACTCCTAGCTTGAGCTTTCGTTCTTACGATCATCCAAACCGTTTTTCATTTGGACTTTTCGTTTGGCAGAAAATGGGGCTGGAAAATAGGTCTGCATAGCGATTGTCGTGAATCGTCGGTCTTAAAGGCATGAGTGTAAAGCTTATACAAAGGGTATCCTTAGCGTAAGACACCTAGGCAGTCAATGTAACTGCATTAGCGACTTTTTCACTGTTTATTAACACTCTTTTGGCGAGGACAACTGTCAAACAGAGCACTTACCCAAAATGAGGTTACAGCCGTTTTTTTCGGCAACGGAGCACTCGCGGGGCACGTCTTGATGGACCAGCTGCCCCAGACACTTCCATTTCACGAATTTCTAGCGATTTTTAGGTTAATATCAACAAACAAATAGCACACTTTTCACTAATTTAGCGTAAGGGCGAAGCCAGCGCTCCGTAGACGTTCGCGCACAGTCCGTCGAGTGATCTGTGATCTGAAAAGCGCATGCGCTTACTCAGCTGATACGCCACTGTTGCCATATATGAAATAAAATACGTGTATATGCGTACAATGTTATGCTAGGATAGGGACAAAGTCTCAAACGCGACAAACTTCGACAGTAGAGAGAGGTTTGAACATGGCATTAATTTCACCATTACAGATAGAATCATTATGAAACATTCAAAATCTGCTTCCAAATTCGAAGAGCACAAGAAATTCAATAAAATGCTTGCTTGGCTACAGTGGAATTTTCCTAAAAAGAAATAATTCTCAAAACACGTGGATACAAGAAGTTTGAGAGTATGTTGAAAAAATCTAAAGATAGGACCTGTAAAACAAAATGGGGTGTTCCACACTCAGAAGAATGCAGGCAATTATAACTAAATCAATGGATGTATGTATTGTTGTATTGAGTTCATTGGACCACATACATTAGTCAATGTGTTTACGATCCTATTTTGTGAAAATTTGGCAACGCTGCCGGAAGCCATCATTGAACAAAATGCATCTGTGCATGTCAAAATTGTCAAATACTTTCATAATAATAATATAATAAAGGAAAGGATTTTATTTCTTTATGGTTTTGATTTGCTATTTCATTATTTTATTGTTAATCATTCACGCAGTCACGCTTGAATATAGTAACATTGACTCATGAATGTACTGAGACTACTGAGTTGAGTTTCATAATAGCCCTTGAATAGATACAAATTAATTCAAGGGCTCACTGATTTACTGTTATTTTTTCAATTTTATTTGTGTACTGACCAGCAAGAATAAAACACATGGTACAATAAAAATTTTATGACGCACAGTCAATAAGTAATAATATGACAATTTATATTGAGCAATAACATTCCAATATTCATGTTTGTTAAATGGTTGGTATACTAAAAGAATTAGTTGAATTATAGAATATAGATCAACTAATCCGAAATCTGATTGATATACAAGGTTGCTTCCTGTAATAAAAAGCACATCGAAATATTTCAATATTTGTGAAATTTAAATATTTCTATGCTTCCTCAGGAAACAGCACCTTGTATGCCACCACCTTTCAAATATAATATGATTATTGTATTTATATAGGTATATATAGGTACCGTTACTCATATATTCTCTTATATAATAATTTGTATTGTGTTAAAATTAAGAATATTACAATAATTCCTGTATGGAAAATTATTTAGCACAAAATATATTTCGAGAATAAAATGTACATACAAGGAATTCTGGTCTTTGGCACTTATTATTAGTACTTGCAATAGTTGGATAAACACATTCGAAATCATAACAATTCGTTGAAAACAGACGGAATTATTTTGAATTCTGATGAATTTTTTTGGAATACACACTTCAAAAACAGGACTGCACATAAAACCATAACTGCTTATATAGCGCGCATTGGTAGATACAGTTGTATTAAAAAAAGGACAAGTATATGGGTGAGTCAAAAGTGTTTTTTCTTTCGATATATTAGCCACACCGGTATAGGCGGTATATATATAGGAAAAATTCGAATACAACAGTTATAGCGTTTCATGTGAGAACTATCACCTAAAATTATTTCCATATCTATAGCGTGTTCGAATTCCAAGATATCGCCGGAGGATAGGTTTTTTCAATATAGGACACCCTATATATTATTGCATTTACAGGTTCTCCCTGAAAAGATGATTTCATCAATATATCACACTTGGGGTCTAGCAGGAATGATTACAGAGATATAGGGTGTTCAACTATTCATTATTGGTCAAAACAGTTTACATTTCCCTATCTCAACTTTTGATTTACTATCTACTGACATTTAATTGGAACAAATACAGGGTGACGTTTTGACCGATAATGAATAGTTTGGACACAAAAAAATCCTAAAGTTGAAAAATCTCGATTTTGAACACCCCATATATCTCTGTAATCATTTCCGCTAGACCCCAAGTGTGATACATTGATGAATCAGCTCTACAGGGAGAACCTAAAAATTCAATAATATATAGAGGGTGTCCCTTAAAAAAACATCAGCAGCCGGTATCTTGGAATTCGAACGTAGGTATCAAAATAATCGTAGGTGATTGTTCTCATAAAACCCTATAACTATTGTATTTGAATCATTTCTATACATCCCTTTCTTATACTTTACGCTTTTTATTGAATAACCACTGTACTACTAAATAGAGTAGGGTTATTTAACGATACAACAATTAATACGTTCATTTATAAAGATTTATATAATAATCTACTTTGGAAACGAAGTTTTGAACGATTCAAAATTACTTCTATACAATCACGAGTATATATACCATCTTAGTGCTTTCGCAGAGAGTTGATGATTATTTTTTTAAAAGTTATATTTTTTGGTTTCCAAAACTTTTTGCAAAATGAGGTATTTTGAATTGTTGGTTCATAGTTTCTACTGCTCAAAATAATATAATATTTTTGACGGGGAAAAATTCATTTGTGTTGACAGATCATGAAATGCCACTTTTCATAAATTACCTTTTTCCCACAGGAATTAAAACTGACAGATATTTGATAACTTAAGAATGATAAAAATGCCTGCAAAAAGATTCTTGATGTAAGGCAGGTGTAACACCTGTTAAAAACTTCGAATTTCACGTCGATATTTTTCTAATTTTGATATAATGTAAATATTTCCCAATATTGATTCGTCTTTTTTCTAGTCACAGAAAAAAATTGCGTTTTATACACGGAAAAATATCTTTTTTCCCTCACATAACTATTCTTCAATATCAATACTTACTATTCTTATTGTTCTAGAAATTTCTCGAATTTTCATCAACCCTCTGTTATGACAAAATTTTGTATAATTTTTGGACGAATCTACCACTAGAAATATCATAGTGAGAAGAAAAACCAGTAAATACAAGGTACCTAATTCAAATTCAACTCTGAAAGGTATAATGAACCAAATTCCTTTTTGGTCCTAGATATTATTGTTTTTGTTCACTTGAAAAATCTCAAAACTCAACAAAAAAGGACCAAGTGGTAATTGAATCATAGTTTTTTATAGAATCATTATACATAATTTAACTTTGGCCACTATATTGTCACTTTTAGAATAATTCTAATAGATACTTATATCTACTGCATTTGAAACCTCTTAACGATTGAAAAAGCTGAATATACAGGTCGTCCATTCAAGAGATTCATAAACCTAGTCAAAAAAATATCAATAATAAAAACCACAACTTTGCTTTGAATGGTAGACACATTTTCTGTTTTCTTTTCAGACAATTTAGGGAGAAAGTAAGTTTTTGGACAACCTGGAATATTTATGTGTAAATATCCTGAGCAGCCAGTCTACAAAAAATCAGTCTTTTCAGTAATAAAAAATTAAAACATATCATCAATGCCACAAGACATACTTTCTCTATAAATCCTACATACAGGGTGTAAATTAATTGAGTGCCGATAATACAAGGTGTGAATCCTTGCGATTCTAAGGGGAAAAGTTTATATCAACATATGTCCTAAACCTCTTAGTTTTTGAGCTACAGGGTGTTGAAATTTCGAAAAAAAGTCAGTTTATCATTATGTTTTCATCACCCTTAGATATTTCAATGAAATTTTGTACACACCTCTTTATCATTGAGGAGCATTCTTTGACGTGGATTATTTTTTCTAAATTTATTATTAAATTATTTTTGAAATCTTCATTTATTTTGGAGCAAATTTGGTTCCCAGACTTAGTTTCATACGACGTAAAACATTTACGTGTAAAAAAATGAAAACCAAAACGTGTTTTTTCTCTTGAAATCACCCGATGATTCAGACAGTGTATTATAGGCACTCAATTAATTAACACCCCGTATATTGCAACTGAATACATTCAGTTATTGAGGTATTATCCATTGGATTCCTTATAATACACTGATACAAAATATAACTTTGTCACTGCTGCTTATTTTGATTTATTATTTATGAAGTTTAAGTACAAGGTGATTGACTATATAAATAGATTTCACGATTTCAACACTGAATATCTTGGAAACTGAAGAAGATATTGGAAACTTCAAAACAAAATTTGATTCACATAGTTTTTTCTTTTGAATGGTGTCCTTCAAATATTCTATCCCCATTCCATATGTGTGAAAATGTTTTTTTTTCAAATGCATATCTTAAAAGAGTGCTTTTGCTGATATCAAAAATACTGGGTGAATCTAAGCAATAAAACTTGAGATTAATTGAAATTTTTGTCATGAAATCATCTGATTATTCAACTGAATTTGAGCTACAACCAGGAGATTATCATCGATTGCCAGTTGACCTGACAGCAAACTTGAATTCAATTAGAAAAATTTACAATCACACAATTTCAATCAATTTCAAGCTATATTCCTTTGATTCACCCAGTAATAATCCAGGGAATATACAGGGTCGCTGATATGTATGGAAACAGGTGAATATCTCGGCAATCTGTTGTTAGATTTTTTTGAATTTATGTACAGTGTGATTTCAAAACGTGGCGGATTTGAAAATGTTATAGCCTCTGTTGCCACTTTTTCAGTTATTCCGGATTTTTAGTAACTTCCTTATTTTGAATGAAACACCCTGTACTTTATTGGTTTTCCAGATTCTTCTTGAAGAGCTGATTCCATCGATCTATCACACTTGGGGTCGAGCGGGAATGATTACATAGGTATAGGCGGGTGTTTAAAATCTAGGTTTTTTCAACTTCAAAATTTTTTTGTGTAGAAACTATCCATTATCGATCAAAACCGCTTCAATGTTCCTATCTTCACTTTAGATTTACCATCTACTGACTATTTAATTGGAACAGATACAGAGGGTGATCAGAATTCTGAATCCTGAACCACCCTGTATTTGTTTCAATTAAATGTCAGTAGATAGTAAATCAGAAGTGAAGATGGAAACATTGAAGCGGTTTTGATCGATAATGAATAGTTTCGACACAAAAAAATACTAAAGTTGAAAAATCTAGATTTTAAACACCCTATACCTATGTATTCATTTCTGCTAGACCCCAAGTGTGATAGATCGATGGAATAAGCTTTTCAGGGAGAATCTGAAAATCCAATAAATTACAGGGTGTTCTATTCAAAATAAGAAAGTTAATAAAAAATCCAGTATAATTGAAAAAGTGGCAACATTGGCTATAACATTTTCAAATCTGCCACGTTTTGAAATCACACAGTACATAAATTCAAAAAAATCCAACAACAGGTTACCGAGATATTCACCTGTTTCCATACATATCAGCGACCCTGTATAATATAATATAGTTTTATTTGAAAAGAATACATATCTTCACATCTCTCGTATATGGAATGGGGATATAATATTTGAAGGCCACCATTCCAAACAGGAAAACCTCTGATTCAAGATTTTGTATTGGAGTTTCCAATATCTTTTTTAGTTTTCAAGATACTGAGTGTTTATAGCATGAAATCCATAGTCAATCACCACCATTGTACATTCAAGTATCTTTGATAATGTGCTACTGTTATTTTTCAAACAAAAACAATGTTTGGCATAGTAGGAATAGGTATGTTAAATACAAGGATATCACAATTTAACTAAAAGTACAAACACCGAATTAAGAAGTCAACATCCCAGATCATAATCCACACTGAACTAAAACATTATGACATGGGAATTAAACCATTTCCTTTCAATTTTCAGGACGTTTGAAGAGTCAAAATACCTCAGGTTCACCTCAATTACAACAGTAAGATTGATTCTCGAAAATAATGAGAACCATAGGTAGGCAATGAACCTTGTTGCTGTGTTGCCAAGCGTATTTTTTCATCAGCAAAAATCAGAAAATTTCATGGAAGGGTTTAAAATCCAGGGAAAACTCAAGCATAATTGTTTCCTGAGATAATATGAGTGGTGCTCAATCTAGACCACTGGTAGTCTTTCAGATGAGCCTTGTAGAGCAATATCAATCCTATCAGTATGATAGGCAGTCCCAACAGAGAACAAATCAGCTCCCCTGTTATAGAGGGAGACCAAATAAATAGACCTGTGGGAATAAATCAAGTAGTAATTGGAAAAAGTTCAGTTACAATTTATAATGTAATGAATTTTTGCAAAATTTTTTAAATTTAATTGAAAAAAACTTACCTTTGCTATGGGGAGCAGCATGAAATAAGGACCACCATATCCCAACCAATGGAAGAGATGTAGTCATAGTTGCTATTGTGTAAACTGCTGACTGTGACAAAATCAGAAATTTCACTGACATGACAGCAAAACAGACATAAGATAACAAAAAGAACCAAGAGAAGATGGAAACATTTCCACATGCTGAAGGGTCAGTGTTGAGGGCTGATGGTTTTTCAAAGTGACAGATAATGCCATTGAGGGTATAGTTCCACGATTCTACTGCATTTGAACCCTGAAAATTATTCAATAAATAATATTGGTTCAAGTATGAACTTTCAGATATTTTACTTTTCCAATTGCTGGAATAAAATCAGTCCAGAACATTAACACAACAAAAATCAGTCCAATGACATGGATCCACATGGTCAAAACTACTACAGATTGTTTCTTGGTCAACTGATTACTACTGTCATTAGCATTATTTCTCATAAGTTGTGGTAGGGACGAATTGTTGCTGTTTGGATAGGATACTGAACTTGAAACTGTGCTCAAAAAGTTTGATGGTATTGTAATATTGTTGTACTCCTGAAATACAACACCAATTAAAACATTTCCCCCTATTCCTATCAATTTTCCTAACCATTTCATTATTTGTGAGCACATATTGATCCAGAAGGGAGAAATAAGCAGCAAACAGAGCTAGGCCAGCAATGTACACTGTAGTCCAGATAGCATGTGTCTGCCAACTCCAAGGCCCTGTATCTTCTGATACCCTTTCCCTTTCATAGCCCCTACATCTGAATTCATCACAAAGACCATAGTCTACAGCAATGAATAAGCCCACAATGATAGTGGTTGTTGAGAAGATTCTCTGAAGACCCATCACTGAAAATCCTTCAGATATAGAATTGGGGTAGTTGATTTTTTTAGTACTTACATTTTCTGCAGAAGAAGAAATAGTAAAGCAGAGAGAATACCAGAACCACTCCCTTTATGGGGTCTTGCAGATGGCATATGACCCTTTTTCTGTCCAAGGCATAAAGTATCATAAATCCACATAAGAAATAGACAGAGGATAGCTGTATCAGTTTCGAAAAATTCAAAGGTACACTCAAAATCTTCACAGTGCTGAATCTCTCACAAAAACACTTGGCAATGCAAATAGTAACAAGCAAAAATATTGTAGACAAAAAGGTATTAGTGAGGATTAGTGAATAAGCATTGCCACCAATGTTGACAGTTTCTAAGTACATAGGAAACAAGATTAGAATTGCAGTAGTGGAGCAAATCAAGGTAAATTTTGTAGCCAAAAATTCTAGTTTTGAGTGATTGCAGTAAGTGAAATTTTGTTTGTAGGTCTCTTCAGGTTTGTCAATGGGGAGACATTGATCTTCGGTCTCTGACAATGATTCGTCATCTGTGCATTGTAAAAGTTCGTCATGATCATCTTCATCCATTTTTAGAACCTAAAATAATATTCATTCATTACAGTACGTGAAAAATCGAGTGAAAAATACGACTATCTAACTAAATAGAGTGATTCTTACAAGGCTTACCTATACGTGTTTTGGCACGACCAGCAGTCTCAACGATTGATCAATAATATCAATGCCGTTTTCTTGCAGAAACTTTTAATTTGAAAAGCAGAAGCAAAAGTAAAAACAGGGATTCTTAGATACTTTGACAATCAGCTGTTAGCTGTTCCTGTCACTAAGTGTTAACTTTCACTTGTCAATCGTCTTCTCAATTTTCATCGTTCTGCTGCAAGTGCTGCAAGCTGCATGAAGCGCTAGGCAATCCAGAATCTAGGTAGCCATTTCAAAAATGAAATTCCCTAGTGAGATTTTTCCCTAGATTAGTTCTGTATCTGTCCACCAGGGTATTCGTTTTGCGCATGCGTCTGTTGTCAAGCACAGAGTCACAGACACGAAACAGCATCTTACTTTGCAGGCTATGAACGAGTTAGAAAGAAAGAAAATACTAAAGTATGTCTGAGATAGCTGCGACCGAGGTTATATAAGAGCAAACAAATTGAAAATCGCCAACATCTTTGAACAACTGAATTTGATAGGAAGGAAACAACATCTTGGTGAGGTAGCGGTATAACATCTTCCACCGGCCCGACCATCATGGCTGAAGCGGAGCAACAACAAGCGGCGCCAGAAGTGCAAGAACAACCCAAACCAGTCCCGAAACAGAAGGAAATACTCGGTAAGAGAATTTCCTTTGAATTAATCTCGTAACGGCGTGGGAGATATGTCACCGCGGCATCCATGTTATCGCGCATTGAAGGAAGCACATGGCGGAAAAATTCGATAATATACATTCTCAAATATTTCCAACGATTTGAAATGGGTTCAAAGGGTTCAGTAGGCACAGAAAGTATTGAATCGCTACCAAGGTTAGGTTTTCATGGGAATTCATTTTAGCAGGAAATTCGAAATTAGTTGCTCTTGCTCTTCATTTTTTGTCCGCCATTTCCTTTTCAGATCGCGTGCTTTTTTTCTAGAGGATTATTCTCGAGATTATTCTCCATTCCTGTGAACATATACTCATTTAATGAAATAATCCTTGCAAGATTAGGGGATAGTTTTTCAATCTTGATATTTCTTAAACATTTCATGTTGTAGGCACTACTTGATATATTACTGGATATAGGAAGTAGTAAGGCCGTTTTTGCTCTGCAATCCACCAGATTGAGAAATTTCTCAAATTTGGTCGCTAAAACAGAGCTACAGTATATTTGTTTGCAATTAGTCTGGACTGTTACTATATTAACAGTTTATTCCTTGTAAATAAAACACAATTTTCCATGAAAAATGAAAGATATTCTTTCCAATTCTCCAGTGAAAACCTCAACTAGAATATTTCGTTTATAGCTAGTAAGGTGACTGGTACAGTAAAATGGTTCAACGTCAAGAGTGGATATGGTTTTATCAACCGAAATGATACCAAGGAAGACGTTTTTGTCCATCAAGTGAGTATTTTTGCTGTTTCAACAAACCTTATTGTTGCTATGGAAATATGTCTCCATTTGCATTTCAATGAATATGGTAATAGATATAATAAATAAATGATTACTTTGTTATCAGTTTTATAGTTGCAAAATAGACCTTTATCATTATGCATACAGAATGTTTTTTTGGGGTCTATTTCTGTTATTTGTTATCAATTTATCAATTATTTTCAGTATTATCAGCTTCTATTTTATTGAACAGCATCATGGATTGTTATTAAATGGATATAATAGAGATAACTGTTGGTAATTTTGCACTTGCAATGGGTGATTTTTTTCGGAATTTTTTTTGTTACCTTTGTATTTTTGTCTGAAAAACACGAATTTGATAATGAAAATGTGAACAAACCACTACTTATCCCAAGAAATTCGAAATTTTTCCTTCTTTTTACCCCTGTTTTGGTTGCATTTCCAACTATTTGCTCTTCTTATTTTGTCATTGGACACTCAATATCCTAATGATATAGGTACTTCAATTTCACATTTTCAAATGGAAAATTCAACAGGAAATATGGTTTTTATGGCGAATTTTTCATATTCAGTTCAGATGGCCGCCATTTAATCAATAATCACACGCCATTATTTTAAATGATATTCATCCTTCTTTCCACTAAATATTGAAAAATCACAAGAAAATTGAAGTTAGTGATCCACCGATATGACTTTTTTTAGCCGATACCGATAATGTCTTGGCCGATAACGGTATATATCGGCCTTTTTTAATTGATAGCATTCATTATTAATTATTATTGTCTAAAATCTCTTAAATCTTGATGTTCTGTAATGTAATTTATAACCTTATAACCGTAAATTCGGTGAAAAGGAATCGGCTGAATCCAGAAACAACCGAGACACTTATTTTTTTACATGATAATTTGCCAAAACTAGAGTATTCATATTAAATGCCTATTTTATATTATATCTACCATAATTTCTTAATATCAAATACCGGGTGACCAGTTATATTCTGACCCATTTATTGCTGTGCGGTTTGGACTAGTCTATTTTGATGTTTTTCAAGCTTTTTTTGATGTGTTCATATTCTCACTTGAACTTCCGGTTCTACCGGAAACAAACAAATAATCCAGGTATAGGGCAACTTTTTTATTTCATTGAATCACCCTGTATATTTTTGCACATCCAGAAAGACTGGTCTCTTCTCTATCTAACAATGTATTACAAGTTATGTTCTCCTAGAAAACTATTAGAGTTATAACTCGAAACAACTACTGCTTGTGGAATGGTTTAATGATATTATGAAATGTTATCAAAGTTGCTCTATACCTGAATAATGGCTTATTTGTTTCCGGTAGAACCGGAAGTTTAGGTGAAAAGGTGAACCAGTCAAAAAACTTGAAGAATATCAAAATAGAGAAGTCCAAACCGCACAACGATAATTTGAATAGTTTCGGAGATATGAGCAGTTGAAATGGGTCAGAATATAACTGGTCACCCGGTATTACTTTGAATTTAAATATTATAGAAATGTTTTAAGCTGCTATGGTTGTCTTTATTTATACATCGGCCGATATATCGGTATCGGTCGATCACTAATTGAAGTACATTGTGATATATAAATGGGCTTATATCACAACAAATTTTGATTTCATAATTCGATAGAACTCACCCAAACTAGCTCACCACCGTAAACCGTTTCTTGCTGTGAGCTCCCTACGTTTTATAAAAAAGTATTGAAATCCCCGATTTTTCGGACCTCTGAGAACGAGGCGTTGATGTGACGTCAAAACCCTAATACTGAAACAAGACTAATCCAGACAGAGATGAATGATACATGATTTCTGACAGAGTGAATTAGCGCGAGATCACAGTTGAAAGAATTGATATATCAGTTGCCTCAGTCTCCGTCGGGCGTTTAGTATTTTCTTTTAACTATGGCGAGATGAGGTTTCTACGTCATAAGAGGGTCCGTTTTCAGAAGGTACTATTATTTATGTCCAAAAATAAAACATTCCAGTTAATTTTTCGATCGAATTATATCGTCGATCATTATTTATGTATAAAAGGATCATTATGAACATGGTTTGAGTTAAAAGTCCTACTAAGGCATTCTAAATGCCATCCAAAAGACTGGCGGAAAAGAAGGTGATATTTGCAACTGTGTAGTGAAATATCTTTATAAATAATGGTTTGTTAACATTTTCATAATCCAATTCCTGTTTATCAGACAAAAATATGGAAGTAAAAAAAATTTTTCAGAGAAAAACCCATCACATGATTAGTGCAAAATTACCTATCTGTTTGTTGCTGAAATGTTTGTATTGATTAGGATTATGTTCGATATGCACGCTCCTTAGATCCATCTCTGATTCTCCTAAGAGATGCTTGAGTCATAAGTGTGCTAAATAACAGTATCTCCATGAGGTGACTGGCTATATGTTGTTACTTTATTTATGAAACTTCATTAGTCATCTTGTGGGGAACAATTCCCTAAATAATATTTTTGTAATGAAAGTTCTGTTATAAAAATTGTTTGCTTACAATTGATCATGATTATACAGGGTGACACTGGGCACCCAGACGATTACAAAATGAGTGTTACACAAAGAATTTTACAGATAATAAGGTTTTATTTACACCAGAATGAAGTTTATACAATGCCATTCAAGATTTGTATTAAATAAGGAAGATAGTGTCATCACTGTCATCTAAATGGTGGCCGTCGCGTTGGATACAGTTTTCAAACCCTCTTCCTTCCTGAAATCGTCCATGACATGCTCCACACAACACTGCTTGATCAATAGTCATGATTTCCTGATGAAAGGCATTCAAAAAAATCACAAATTGACAGGTCCAAAACGTGAAATGAGTTTTTGTGGGAACATGTTGCTGACAACATTCAGTGATGCGTTGGCAGTATGTGCCGTGGCGCCATTTTGTTGAAACTAGGGATCGACCGATAGGATTTTTTGAGGCCGATACCGATATAGGCATGGCCGATATCGGCCAAAAATATCAAGTATTGTTTTTTGCCTTTAAAAATATATTCAAAATGGTGGAAAACCAAAGGGAAAAGTCTATGCATGAATTTTAAATTACTGAAAAAGCCAATATTGAAGAAGAATATAAAATGTATATAAAACTACAAATATTTTAAAAAATGAAGATCCTTTGATGTGGTGGGAAAAAGAGAAAAATAACTTTTCACTACTGTATAAATGTGCAATTATATATTTAGCACCACCACCCAGTAGGGTAGGGAGCGTAAATATTTTGTGTTCAATATTTGGTTTCTATGTTAGAATTTATGTTTGTTTTTTAATATTTTTGAGTGAATATGTATTATTTTAAACAAAATATATTTTTTGGGGGTTTTGTTTTTTTTTCTCAGGCAAAAAGTTACATCATTTTGAAGACTTATATTTTATTTTATTATAACTAAGCCGATACCGATATAGGCCGATATTGGCTCTTCATATCGTCCGATACCGATATCGGTCGATCCCTAGTAAAGAGTTATATAAATTTATTCCATTTCGGAATATTGATTGTTTACCAAAATTTGACTTATAATTATTTGCTATCAATAAATTGAATTGCCTTCTTTCATGGGCGTGAATCGAATTAACTTCATTTAAATTCAAATTCATATTTCCAATTCCTTCCTGACAAAATGAATAAAACAACAAATTTTGAGTTTATATAATGAAACTAGATTCAGCAAGTCTTTAGATTTGTATAGATTCACAGTTGATTCTAAAGAAGGTAAATTGAAAATGCACTTCATTGTTTTATTATACAGGGTGGCCCACGAGGTTTTGGCCAGTCGATATCTCGCAAACTATTTGAACTACAATTTTGAATTTTTGTAGTTTTGAACAATGGAATGCGGTGACCATTTTTGGTATAAGAGGGTTTTATTGCAACATCGCATTTTCAATCACGTGATATCAACTTCAAAATTTTAAATGGAACACCCTGTATATTATTGCATTTGTGTGAAGACCTTTTTAATGCAAATACTACGATACCATCATTGTCAGGGTTTTCATGTGAAACGGTGACAATATGAGCTGTCAAATAAATGGAAAATGGAAAATTTATTAAAGAACAACAGTATAATTAGGAAACGAAACATAATAAGAAAGAGCATTACAGTTGATGCTCAAATTGATGTCCATCTTCAGTAACGTAATGCTCAAATCTTGTTGAAAGATTTCTAGTGCATGCTGCTCTAAACATTTCAGGTGTAACAGTTTGGCACGCTGCTCTGATCTTGTTTTGCAAATCATCTAAATTTGTAGGCTGTGTAGAATAAACCAATTATGGTATCGTAGAATTTGTATCATAAAGGACTTCACGAAAATGCAATAATATACAAGGTGTTCCATTTGAAATTTTGAAGTTGATATCACGTGATCGGAAATGCGATGTTGCAATAAAACCCTCTTATATCAAAAATGAACACCACATTCCACTGTTTGAAACCACCAAATTTCAAAATTATAGTTCAAATAGTTTCCGAGATATCGACTGGCCAAAACCTCGTGGGCCACCCTGTATATTATTATAATTATTATATTTAATGTAATTTCATGAGTGGCTTCAAACGTGAAATATTTGTACTTCCCCAAATATATATTAGATATTGTATATTTGAATAAAAAAAGACAGAAATAAATACTCTTTAGGTATCTAACAGAAATGAAGTTTCGAATTTTATATACAGGGCGAGTCATTAGTGTGGCAAAGTGAGATAACGGATTTACAGTTTGAGATAGATAGACAAAAGTTCCAGAAATGATCTAGGATCATGAGCAACACATTTCCAAATTATTTCGCTTTATACAGGGTGGCTCAAAAATGCGTGGCGTATCAAAGTTATACTTTTTCTTATGGGACACCCTGTATTTCATTGCATTTTCGCATTCTCCTCTGTAAGCTGATTCCATCAATGCATCACACTTGGGGTCTAGCGAGAATGATTACAGAGATATAGGGTGTTCAAAATCGAGATTTTTCAACTTTAGGATTTTTTTTTGTGTCGAAACTATTCATTATTGGTCAAAACGGCTTTCATGTCCCTATCCCAACTTTTGATTTACTATCTACTGACATCTAATTGGAACAAATACAGGGTGGTTCAAGATTCAGTATTCTGATCACTCTTGTATCTGTTCCAATTAAATATCAGTAGATAGTAAATCAAAAGTTGGGATAGGGACATGAAAGCCGTTTGGACCAATAATGAATAGTTTCGACGCAAAAAAATCCTTCTGGATTTTGAACACCCTATATCTCTGTAATCATTCTCGCTACTCGCTAGACCCCAAGTGTGATGCAATGATGAAATCAGCTCCCAAAGGAGAATGCGAAAAAGTATAACTTTAATACTCCACGCATTTCTGAGTTACCCTGTATAAAGCGAAATAATTTGGATATGTGCTGCTCATGATCCTAGATCATCTCTGAAATTCTTATTCATCTATCTCAAATAGTAAACCAGTTATCTCACTTTGCCACACTAATGACTTACCCTGTGTAATACCAGCAATAGGATTCAATTTTTTCCTCAATTGATCTATACCGGGTGGCTACGGAAGTATTGCCTACGGAATATCTCAGTTATTGTATGAAGTAGGTTTGTGAAATTTGGAGCATCGATATAATGACATAAGCTAGAATTTGAGCATATTGACATGTCGAAGTTAACTTCCGGTCTGACCGGAAGTAACATCAACTTTCTTATTTTAAATGGACACCCTATTTTTTTTTCTCTTCGCTTTATTCAGCATCCAATTCCCTTTCTAATGACATATCACGAGTTGGTATCCAATCAGAAACTAGATCAGAAAACATTTTTTTATTGAAATTCACCGAGTAGGCCGTGGAAGCAAAATGAAAGCCAAAAATTGAAAAGTTGGCTATGGAAACCATACGTCACTTGATAATAGTTGCTACTACTGTGATATTTTATTTTCATTCGTCGGCGTTATAAAAAGCCGCCAAAAAAAATATTGGAAAAATTGGGGAAAAAACAATACTCTGTAGGTCCATAACTTAAATAGGAACATACAACTTTTTCTTGCCTGTACTATTCAGCATAACGATTCCTTCCTAATGATATAATAGAAAGTCATTTTTTGAAATGAAATACCAAAAAATCCAATTATTATTCTTCAAATAACAAAAAAACAGATTTATATTTTAATAATAATTTTTTTCTGATCTAGTTTATGGTTGGATACAAACTTGTGATATGTCATTAGAAAGGGAATTGATTGCTGAATCAAGCGAAAAGAAAAAAAAAATAGGGTTTCCATTTAAAATAAGAAAGTTGATGTTATTTCCGGTCAGACCGGAAGTTAACTTTGACATGTCAATATGCTCAAATTCTAGCTCTTGATGTCATTATATCGACGCTCCAAATTTCACAAACCTACTTCATACAATAACTGAGATATTCCGTAGGCAATACTTCCGTAGCCACCCGGTATACGTAGAGTCCACGATAATTGTTCATCAATATAAAGACCTAAAAATATTGTTACATTTGTATATTCAATGGATTTGTTATTGAATCGTTAGGGAATCATTCAATATATAGTTACAAGTGTCTGAATAAACAGTTGTATGTGTTTTTTTCGTTTCCCCCTCGTAGTCGGCCATAACGAAGAACAACCCGAAGAAGGCGGTCCGCTCGGTGGGGGACGGCGAGCCGGTCGAGTTTAGCGTGGTGGCGGGCGAGAAGGGCAACGAGGCGGCCAACGTGACCGGCCCCAACGGGGAGGCGGTGAGAGGCAGTCCGTACGCGGCCGACCGCCGGCGCGGCTACCGCCAGTGGTACTACCCGAGGGGCGGGCGGAGAGGGGGCGGCGTCGGCAGGGGCGGACCGCGAGGGGGGTTGGGGCAGCGCGAGAGCCAGAGCGATGGGGATGTCAAGGTAAATGGGGACGATGAGGTATTTATTGGTTTTTTTCTCTTTTCCTATGGTTGTGTAGTAGTGGTTAGGATATTAATCATAAAAATATTGGGAAATATGTGATAATAATAGTAGTGTACTACACCTTTTCCGATTTTAGTTTGAAAAGCGTCAAGCTAATTTCATAAAGTATCTAGTGTAAAGTGCCGGCGCCAGGGGTGTTCCCGCCCAACCTGCTAAATTAAAATTTTGAACAAAAAATAGATATACAGTGTCTTTCAAAAGTATCGGAACGGTCTCATATTTCAGGAACGGCTTGAGAAAAATTCACGAAATTTTCTACAGGGTGATTATTGATGATGTCCGATTCAATGGTGGCATCGGCAATGTTGCCAAGTTCACAGTTTTTCAGATATTAGGAGTAACTTCATTTTTTCAAATGGAATACCCCATTCATTTTTATCGCAATTAATTAAGCGCCTGCTAATTACTTGAGTCCCTGAATATCAGATTCGTAATTAACGTGATTTTCGAAATATGACAACATAGCATTTTCGTTAAAAAGTTCTGAAACGGTCCCATATTTCAGAAACGGCTCAGAGAAAATTTATGAAAACTTCGACTGGATGGTTGTTGATGATGCCTGATTCAATGGTGATATCGGCAATGTTGCCAAATCAACAGTTTTTCAGATATTTAGGGTAACTCAATTCTTTCTAGGGGAATACCCTATTTGTTTTCATTGCAATACATTCAGCGACGCCTCATTACTTATATCTCCAAATATCAGATTTTAAATTGAAGTGGTTTTCGAAATATGACAACATGGCATTTTCGTTCAAAAGTCTGGGAACCTCCTAATATTTTCAATACGGTTCAAGGAAAATTCATGAAATTTTATACAAGATGGTTTCTGATGATGCCCAATTCAATGGTGATATCGGCAATGTTGCCAAATCAACAGTTTTTCAGATATTAGGAGTAACTTTATTTTTTCAAATGGAATACCCCATTCATTTTTATCGCAATTAATTAAGCGCCTGCTAATTACTTGAGTCCCTGAATATCAGATTCGTAATTAACGTGATTTTCGAAATATGACAACATAGCATTTTCGTTAAGAAGTTCTGAAACGGTCCCATATTTCAGAAACGGCTCAGAGAAAATTTATGAAAACTTCGACAGGATGGTTGTTGATGATGCCCGTTTTTCAGATATTGATTGCAACGAAAATAAATAGGGTTTTCCATTTGAAAAAAATGTATTACCGATATCTGAAAAACTATTGATTTGACAACATTGCCGATATCACCATGGAATCGGGCATCATCAGAAACCATCTTGTATAGAATTTCATGAATTTTCCTTGAACCGTATTGAAAATATTAGAAGGTTCCCAGACTTTTGAACGAAAATGCCATGTTGTCATATTTCGAAAACCACTTCAATTTAAAATCTGATATATGGAGACATAAGTAATGAGGCGTCGCTGAATGTATTGCAATGAAAACAAATAGGGTATTCCATTTGAAAAAATGAAGTTTTTCCTAATATCTGAAAAAACTGTAAACTTGGCCACATTGCCGATGCCACCATCGAATCGGACATCATCAATAATCACCCTGTAGAAAATTTCGTGAATTTTTCCCAAGCCGTTCCTGAAATATGAGACCGTTCCGATACTTTTGAAAGACACTGTAGAAAAAAGTAGTTTTTTTAGATTGCTTTCAAAATCATATCTAACTAACCGTTCCAATGGTTAATGGATCAATCAACATGGTTCCGGAATCACAAATTACAATAAACGTCAAAGAAATGTACGATTCTGAGACCGACGAGGCCTCTGTGCAGTATCCCTATCTCAGTGTTAGTTTTTGAAATTATTTTGATAATTTTGAAATACAATTGACTCGTTTTGAAATTAAATTGATACTTTTGAAATACATTTGATACTTTTCCAAATTAAATTGACTAATTCGGAATACAAATAATGCTTTTTGAAACCCAAATGACAATTTGGAAATTATTAATACAATAAGGTTCCATATTGATTTAATATTTTCTGAGTGATTGCAGTAGGCTTCTTGGGTTAGTTCTCAATGGTTTTTATTTCATTGAGAATATTATTGAACATTTTTTTTGCTTTATACATGCTGATTCACGGTGGATGGCACATTACGTTTTTGGAGAATGCAAATCAGGATTATCTTGAAAAGTTGATGCCTTGGATGAATAGTTGTATTCTATTGACTTAAAATATTCTCAGCGTTGCGACAATGCCGCTTATATTGAAAAGTAGCAAGAACTTTGATTTTTTCAATGGAACACCCTGTATATCATTCCATTTTCGGATTCTCCCTGCAGAGCTGATTTCATCGATATATCACACTTCGGGTCTTGCGGGAATGATAACAAAGATATAGGGTGTGAAAAATCGAAGTTTTTCAGCTTTTATAATTTTTTATGTTGAAACCATTCATAATTATTGATCAAAACGGTTTTCATGTCCCTATCTTAACTTTTCATGTACTCATTGATATTTATTTCAAATAGATACAGGGTGGTCACAAATCTTAATTCTGAACCACCCTGTATTTATTTCAATTAAATATCAATCGATAATACATGAAAAGTTAAGATGGGGACATGAAAACCGTTTTGGTCAATCATGAATAGTTTCCACACCAAAAATTCTTGAAGTTGAAAAATTTTCGATTTTTCACACCCTGTAGTATCTTTGTCAAGTGTGATAGATCAGAAACAGCTCTTTAGGGAGAATCTAAAAATGGAATGATCTACAGGGTGTCCCATTAAAAGAATCAAAGGTTGTTACTTTTCAATATAAGCGGCAACGTCGCAGCGCTGAGAATATAAAGTCGATAGAACACAACAAATTATCCAAGGAACCAAATTTTCAAAATAATCCTACGTTGCGCAGAATTCTCTAATGGACACAGGGCTAGTTTTATTAATGTGAATTTCCCTCAATCTTTTTTGTTTTGCACCTATCAAAAAAAAAATTATACAGATTTTATACAATTATTTTTCATATAGGTTCCAATCATAGTGACAGTGTTGCAATATAACTTCACATATACAGGGAATTCAGAAAATATATATACTCCTTAAATGGAATGCGCTGTATATTTTGATAAATATGAACCCCTTATATCATATATTTGAAATCAGGATGGATTGAGGAATTATCAAAATATACATTCCATAATTTTTTCTGTAAACTCTGTATATTTGAAGACATATTGCATTATTGTCAATATGAGTGAAATCTGTATGAAATAAGCTTTAATGTTTTTATGTGTATGAAACAAAAAAAATAAGAGGGGTTCACATCAATAAAACTAGCCCTGTACCATTCACCATGAATCACAGCCTGCATAGTGAACCTCTCTCAAACATAAGTTTTGTATGTATGGGGTAGTTATAATCATATTTGAACCTAGTTCTGTGAACATTTTACTTTTTATAGTTGTCAAAGTACTCTTTATGCTTAAGTAGAAGAGTTATCAAATCCAAAATGAGAACTGCAGGTACTGTTAATATACTCATCATAGGATAATAACACCCCAGCTGCTACCTCCCTTACCATATCTCTGTTGAATTCCGCTTCCAGGACGGCGCGACTTCGGGCGGCGAAGGCGGCGACGCTGGAGGCGGACCGATGCGCGGCCAGGGCGGCCCGCGTCGCTTCCGGCAGCGGCGCGGAGGCCGCGGGTACGGCGGCGGCGGCGGGTACTACTCGCGCGGGCCGTACCGCGGGCCGCCTCTGCCGCCGGGCGGGGAGCTCGAGCAGAACGGGGACGGGCAGATGGCGCGGGGCGGTCGCGGGCCGCCGAAGAGGTTCTTCCGCAGGTGAATATATACCCGGGGTTGTTGAAGAAACAGGATTCGATAAAAAAAAATGAAATTAGATGTTAATTACAGGTCGAGTGTTGTGAGAGTCAAACATGGTCTCGCACATACTTCTGACTTTGTGGCCGCGTGAGACCAATATGGTCTCGCATATATCCACAATCGATTTGGCTGCATATCTCCCAGCGGTCTCTCGGAGCATTGTGAACTAAATGGCGTTCGAAACAGTGCGGCCTGGTGGTCCAGAGACATATTTTGGCCTGTGGATATGAGAGACCAAATTGGTAGTACGTGGCTAGGAAATGTTAATTATCTTTTTTTTCTCACGCGAATATTTAGGTACTTTTATTAGTTTTCTTCATTTATACATCATGCACATGTAACAAAATCATTCAGAATATTCTAGGAATGAAATAAATATCATTCATTGAACAATATACCTAATGTTAGAAACTGCACTAGTCCACGGTATATCATTTCTGAATGTTTGGGTTTCTCTAGCACCGCCTCTCTTTTTGATTTTGGGGCGTTTTCTCTATTGTTTGGAAGATGCATTCTTCAACGATGACGAAGAATCTACTGATGACTCACATTGATATTCATCAGAAAGATACACATCCCCAAACAGTGATTCTCCATCTTGATTACTTCAGTTTTCGTCTTCATCGTATAACATGAAATAAGAAATTCATTATACAGGGTGTAAATTTGAAAACTCAATGCGAATATCGCGAAATAAGACTTCGTTGGCAATATAACGCATCTGTATCGCATCCCTATAGCTGGACGATTTTGATCACATTGTGGCAATTCCACTGAATCGAAATGACAGTAATGCTGTTTCTGTCACATCAGATCAATACAAATCTATAGGGGGATTTTTATAATAATTTTTATTTTTCAATATTTCTTAATTTTCACAATAAATAGTGCAATTTGATGGATGATTCTCAACATACATACTTGATACTGCAACAAACAAATTCAAACTCTCATATTCCATCACCTACCACTTATATTTTGCATTATTTTCCCGCAATGTTGCGTGAAAATGACACTTCCCAAACTAAATTGCGTGCGGGTATAGTGTCACAAACTGTAGGCGGGGGTTGCCTAAGTTGTGCTCTAGATCCATTAGAGAATGGACTTTTAAAAGTGATGATAATAAATAATACTCAAAAGGGTTTTCAAACAACACATATACACACATTTATTCTTGGAAATGAATAACAATTAAATGAAACCTCAACTAACCCTATATGTACAAATTGACTGATATTTTCTGGGAGCCCGAGGAAGGGCATCTTCTGTTCTGCCCGAACTTTGACGGTTCGGGCACAGTGGCAAATGATTGAATGCTTGAATGATCGCAATGATCGAAATGATTGAAAGATTGAATGATCGAAATGATTGAAAGATTGAATGATCGAAAATGATTGAAATGATTGAATGATCGAACTGATACCTGTGCTGGCTTCCTGGCGCCTTTTATATATCCAATCTATATTTTCGAAACGTGACAGTGAGGAAGTCAGTTGGATATTCCTGGTTCGTTAAAGTCAATGCCATGCCTGTGTTTATGTTATTTATTTATTTATTGAAAATGTTACTTCCAGTCAGAATCAAGTTCTGGTATAAGGAAGTATAGTTAACAATAATACCTAAAACTATTCAATTATAATAAACTGATGAATAATAAAATATTTGAAAACATTGATTATTAAATTTTGACAAATCATTTCATATTGGTGAGCAAAAATCAATTTGAATATGAATCATAAGTTGAAAAAAAAAAGTCATCTATTTCGTTCAGAAATGATAAATTTTTTAAGATGGTATTTGAATTTTATTGTATTTCTGCAATTTTTTATATTATCTGGTAATTTGTTATATTCCAAGAGAGCAGCGTGGGTGAATCTTTTTTGGCCTATAGAAGTATTAGCGATATCAAGATGAAATAAACCATGTTGTCTAGTTTGATAATTATGAATTTCATTGTTTCGTGTTAAAGTAAAATTAGATTTCAATCTTTTATTTATGATATTGTATGTAATTTTCAGTCTTTCGATTTTGAACATTTCTTCTAATGAGAATGATTCAGTTATTTTATATAATTGATTTGTTGGTGTATCATATGTTCAACTACTAATCTAAAGTTCGTGGTTCAATAATTTTGGAAATAATAAACACAGACGTGACCGTTCAATGACTTCGAACCCATATAATTTCATAAGAATTTTGGAATTTGGCTTCAAATATCTCCTCATTTGTGACAATAGGGTGAATCACGCACGCTTGTAGAAAAAAAACGCTAACTTATCATTTCTTCTTGCATTCCCGATTCCATTCTCGGGAACTTTTCGTGGAATAATTCGGAAGCGTGTATTCCAGGAACTTCCGCGGTGGCAGAGGAGGCGGCGGCCGGCCGCGTTCTCCCACCGAAGACGACCAATCGGGTGACCAGCAGCAGCAGAACGGAGGCGGGCCCGATCAGCAGCAGGGAGGCCCGAGGGGGCCGCCTCGGCCCAGGTACCGCAGACGCGGGCCCCCGAGGCCGCGCACCGGCGAGTCGCAGTCCGAGTCTGGGGGGAATGCGCAAACGAAGGTGAGGCGTTTTTTTCAATAATATGTGCTTATCTTTATATGAAGTAGAATGCAAATTCCCCTTTCATTGCGGTAAAATTTTGATAGTCGTGCTCTCATAACGGGGAAAATTTGCGTTGCGGGAAAACCCGTCTCCCGGTATACGCAAGTCCGGTACGCGATTTTACTAAATATACTGTACGCTAGCACAAACCACGCCCACCGTAATATCTCATCTTCCAAGTACTTAGGCAAAACTCAGAAACTATTTATATTTTATCCTTAACGAACTAACCTATCCCTGATTGCAATATTTTTGAGGAAGGAAAACCGAATGGAGTGTAGAAACACATTGATTAATAATATATTTCAAAAGTTGAGTTCTTCAACAAAATTGAATAAAATGAGACTGTTTATCCTAAACGCACTAACCTATTTGACTTCAAATATTTTCTGAAAAAGGAAAACCAGAATGAAGTAAAAAAACATTGGTGAAAAAAAAAGTTGCAAAAAAAAGTTCAAGTTCACAGCGATTCGAACCATGGACCTTGAGACTGAAAGTCGACAGCGCTAACCAGTAGACCATTTGGGTGTATGAATTTACTGCGTACAAGAGATTGACAACGAGAGAGCTTCAGTCGAATTCGTGTCAAAATCATAAAAAGTGTATTCTTGCGTTGGAGCACAGTATATTTAGTGCGATGTGCTGACTCCGAGTATATCGGTAATGTTTGGAGATATGACGTATTATGGTGGGCGTGGTTTGTGCTAGCGTGCAGTATACGCAAGTCCGGTACGGGCGTGTACACCTGTCTCCCGCAATCACAGGATCAGGGTTCGCCTGATTTAAATCAAATAAATAAATGTGAAAAGCTCACAGTCATTTCCACCCAGTGTTCATAAAATGAACAACAATGGTAGATTTCGGGAGAAAAACAACTACTTCCCTGGCTAATGCCACGCAGGATATTGCATTACATCCTCCCGAAATCTATGCATCGACTCGTATAAACGAATACTGATACAAGTGATTCTTTCCTGAATGCCTATTGATTTCGATTAAGCCAGGCCGCTAGACAACCACAGACCGGTTTCGAGCTCTTTGTCTCTCATCAGTGCAGTGTAGTCTCCAGCCAGCAGTCCTAAGACCGCCGACTGAGCGAAGCCTAGCCAAACAAAAATCAAGTTGACATTATATCCACCCCGAGGCGTCTTTCATCGATAAAATGAAAGTAACGCCATCTGAGTAGAACCGAGGAAAGAATCACTCCAAAAGGGATTTTATTTGAGCTATACTGGGTGACACAGACACATGGAAAACGAAATAAAAAAAAAACAAGTTCTTATCCAATTTCTCGTAAAATCTTGAAGAGTGACTCAATAAAACTTCAATTTGTGCGAAACAAATTGAAAATAGAATTTTCATTAGAAGTTAGTTTTCTGCCTGTAGGTCCTTAGATGTTTATGTTAGTGTGGTTGTCATAATGCTTCGGTTTTTTTCAGTTGAAACTTGTTTAAATCGGAAGTTGATAATGCGAATTGTTCCCATTGGAGCAAGTTTGAACTGATTCACGACTTTTTAAGAACACAAAGTTGTTTGTTTTCTGGTTGAAAAAAAAAATGGTACTGAAAAAATCAGGAATAGAAGTTCTCTCTTGTCTTCCATAGTAGTCATTTCATGTATAAATATAACCCTGCATGGCTTTATTGTAAGATAAGCTTCATCTACTTTGGCATCTCTTCTATCAGTTTTATTTTTTAATATTTTCGACTTTTCCTGATCTTCTCAAATGGAAGAATAAAGTGTTACTTTTGTTGAATCCTAAATTTCAATTAACTCTATAACCTTCAATGTCTATGAACTGATTTTTTTTCCACATCTTCTTTCTCTTGCACATCTTTACATTAGTATTTTTTTCTGTTGGAATTATAGGACCCTGAATCCAATGCACCTCAGCAGACAGAAGTAAGTTAGCTTGTAGTACTTAGTTGCTGTAATAGAAATAAAAAATCACATACTCTATAGATTTATTTTTAAAATGAAGAAACCCGCATCTAAATATTTGCAGTTATCACGAAAATATTCAATGTTGAATTCAGTTCAAAAATGTGCTTATTACATAATTATTATAAAGTTCAATTGATCAGCAGTTGATTAACGACTTGTTTCTTGATGTTTTTTCTTTTGTAAATCTAGCTAAACATTCAGTTGTATATTAATTTTGTTTTCAATTGTTGGCCGTTTAGTCACATGGATAATTTAAATCTCAGCATATTGTCAGGAAATTATTTTTAATTCATACATGGTGTTACAAATTCGTGGTTAATCATGGGGATGTTCAGATGTAACCTCTTTCGGCAGATACTTTGAGCGCCGATATCTCGAAAACTATCTGTCCTGTCGGGCGGATCATGGTCTCATTCGATTCAGCGTGTCATTTTCTACTGGAAAAGCGATAATTCGCGTGGATTTCCGCCGTTTTCTGGCTCTTTCGGCCGTCCGAAGATAGCTCGGTGACTATATCGTACTGAAGTCTCAAGTGGGAAAATGAAAATTTTTATTTGGCCTATTTAAAATCTGAAAAAATTCACATGGATCAAATTGATGTCGTGATGAAGGAATCTGTGGTGGAAATCAGGAAATTCTTGAAAATGGAGACGTAGTAGCCTACCGGAGTGCTCCTATTGGCAATGAAAGCGAAGAGCTGACTTTGAGCGCCGATATCTCGAAATCTATTTGTTCAATCGGGCTGATCATGGTCTCATTCGATTCAGCGTGTCATTTTCTACTGGAAAAGCGATAATTCGCGTGGATTTCCGCCGTTTTCTGGATCTTTCGGCCGTCCGAAGATGGCTCGGTGACAATAATGAAAATTTTTATTTGGCCTATTGAAAATCTGAAAAAATTCACATAGAATAATTCGGTGTCGTTGTGAACGGATCTGTGGTGGAAATCGGTGAATTTTGGAAAATGAAGACGTAGTAGCCTACCAGAGTGCTCCTATTGGCTATAAAAGCGACAAGCTGACTTTGTGCGCCGATATCTCGAAAACTATCTGTCCTATCGGGCTGATCATGGTCTCATTCGATTCAGCGTGTCATTTCCTTCTGGAAAAGCGACAATTCGCGTGAATTTTTGTCGTTTTCTGGCACTTTCGGCCGTCTGAAGATGGCTCGGTGTATATATCGTACTGAAGTCTCAGGTGGGACAATGAAAATTTTTTATTTGGCCTATTGAAAATCTGAAAAAATTCACATAGACTAATTCGATGTCGTAATGAACGAATCTGTGGTTGGAAATCGGGAAATTCTTGAAAAAATGGTGACGTAGTACCCTACCGGAATGCTCCTATAGGCAATAAAAGCGAAGAGCTGACTTTGAGCGCCGATATCTCGAAAACTATCTGTTCAATCGGGCTGATCCTGGTCTCATTCGATTCAGCATGTCATTTCCTACTGGAAAAGCGACAATTCGCGTGGATTTCCGCCGTTTTCTAGATCTTTCGGCCGTCCGAAGATGGCTCGGTGACAATATCGTACTGAAGTCTCCGGTGGGAAAATGAAATTTTTTATTTGGCCTATTGAAAATCTGAAAAAATTCATTTAGACTAATTCGGTGTCGTTATGAACGAATCTGTGGTGGAAGTCAGGAACTTTTGGAAAATAGAGACGTAGTAGCCTACCGGAGTGCTCCTATTGGCAATACAAGCGAAAAGCTGACTTTGAGCGCCGATATCTCGAAAATTATCTGTCCTATTGGGCTGATCATGGTCTCAATCGATTCAGCGTGCCATTTTCTGGCTTGGTGACTATATCGTACTGAAGTCTCAGGAGGGAAAATGAAAATTTTTATTTGGCCTATGAAAAATCTGAAAAAAATCACATAGTCTATTTGGATGTCGTATTGAACGAATCTGTGGTGGAAATTGGGCAATTTTGGAAAATGGAGACGTAGTAGCCTACCGGAATGCTCCTATAGGCAATAAAAGCGCAAAGTTGATTTTGAGCGCCGATATCTCGAAAACTATCTGTCCTATCGGGCTGATTATGGTCTCGGTATCTCTTAGGGTTACCGAGATCCCCATGTCTAGCCACGAATTTGTAACACCCTGTATACAGAGATCCCAGAAAAATCAGTAGCTATTTCTAATCATTTTTCTTTTGTTTTTCAGGAAAGTCAGCCCGTGCAGAACACCACCACAGAGAGCAGTGCTTAGGCGTTACGCGCTCTAGTCCATCACTTATAATCATAATCTGTTAAAAAAAAAAAATAACAACGTTTAGCGCGTGAGTTTGTAAACATAATGGCAGGCGAGAGACTTTCGATGACGCGACCGAGCGAGCGACTTTACTTTTTTCTCGGATCCACTCGATTTTTTCCTCAGTCCATTTCTCAGTCAATTCCATACAGCGGGTGCGTCCCCGCTTTCAATGAGGGTTGCGACAAAAACATTTTTGATACTTTTTATATTCTCCTCAAAGGGATGATTCGCGGTTTTCGAAGGGGTGTGTAGATAGAAAACTGTTGTTGAAAGCGGGGCGGGAGGGTCGCGTATCGAACTGTTTCTAGACCTTAAGTCTTTGCCAATTTTTCCTTCATAACAATTACAAAAATAAAAGAAAAATCTTGAAAAATGCGACGCTTGCCGCGAACAGCTTGCTGGCGAGATGTCGCGCCAAAAAAAATTGATTGCAACATTCAACTTGAAAAGGATATACTTTCCGATTGCGAGGAGTTTGGGAAAAAATACAAAAAAATCCGCAAAAGTGTAAAGAGGAACAGTTTATTTTCCGCTAGTTTCGGGATCGATGTTTTTCGACACTTGTGTGATGGTCATAGTCTTTTTGTCCTGCAAATTTTCGGTATTTTTGGGGTCTAGTCATGAAGGTGTACAATTTTTCAAAGTGTAATTTTTGAAATGCTTTAATAAGTTGATATCGCTGATGTACATTTTGAATTGAATTATTTATTTTTCTGCTGTATTTTTTTTCGATAATTTTCTATAGATGGTAAAGTGGGAAATAAAAAAACTGTTCTGAAACCTGTATTTCAATTCTCTTGTCCCCCAAATATTTTCATTTAGATGTCTTGAGAATTCCAAGAATCTATGAAATCAAGTGTAGGAGAAAATGAAATAAAGGACCCCGCACGAAAACACGGAAAATTGGCTCTCGGTCGAATTGGCTGAAATGTTGTGGGATGGCTCATTAGAAGAATATGTGAGTTTAAAAAGTTTTTTGTGTTTAGTTTCTGAGATATAAGCCGACAAAGTTCGTAAAAACGTCGTATCAGGGTAGGATTGACAAAGAAAAAAAATGTTTTTCTGGTATAAATAAGACAAAATAAGCTAGAAAATGTATTGATCGGAACTCAAATACATGAGTTATGATCACATAAACTATAGTGAATCAGGGTGAATACGAGGCACGGTCAAAAAATTCATTTTTCGGAAAAAAAAAATTCGAGCACTATTCCAAAACCAATAAGTTATATTTCGGTGAAACATCATAGTTTTAGTCTATTGTAGGCTTCTAAAACGTATTTTCATTCTTGATAACTATCTCTGTTCGGAATATGAATTTTTAGAATTTTGTGTTACACCCCTTTTTGAAAACAATTGACAGCTTTTTTTTTATCACAAAGAAAGGGATTAATTGATACTGTTGATTGCATGAAAGCTGAGGTGACTCACTAGAGAATTCAGTTGTTCAATATTGCGTTTCATTTAGATACAGGGTGTGATTTTGTTGAAGATTATTTAACATGTTTCAATTGAATATCTCGAAAACAGTTCCGTTAATTTGGATCTCATTTTACTGACACTATTTTGAATATGTTGACTATCATATGCAAAAAGTTTTTCAATTTCTCATGTTTCGTTTCTGAGATAACAATTTTTGAGTTTACAGTATTACAGGTATTATAGGGTTATTACCTCGGATGTCACTATCGATTCAACAGAACTTTACGGAATCTTTCGAACATTCAATTACATCATGAAACTATCAGAAATCAATAATGTTTTACTATAAACAACACGAACCACAATACATATAGAATAACAATATGAAACTCAATAGTATGGATTCCGTAAAGTTCTGTTGAATCGATAGTAATATCCGAGGTAACCCTATAATACCTGTAATACTGTAAACTCAAAAATGCATATCTCAGAAACGAAACATAAAACATTGAAAAACTTCTTGCATATGGTAGAGTCAACATATTCAAAATAGTGTCAGTAAAATGAGATCCAAACTGTTATCGAGATATTCAATTGAAACATGTTGAATAATCTCCAACAAACTCCAACACACCCTGTATCTAAATGAGAGGCAATATTGAACAACTGAATTCGCTAGTGAGTCACATCAGCTTTCATTAAATCAACAGTATCAATCAATCCCTCTTTTTGTGATCAAAAACAAGCTGTCAATTGTTTTCCAAAAGGGGTATAATACAAAATTCAAAGAATTCATATTTCGAACAGAGATAATCATCATGAATGAAAATACGTTTTCGAAGCCTACAATAGACTAAAACTATAATGTCTCACCAAAATATAACTTGTTGGTTTTGGAATAGTACTCGAATTTTTTTTTCCGAAAAATGAATTTTTTGAACGTGCATCGTATACACCCTGATTTACTTTGATTTATGTGATCATAACTAGACATGTATTTGTGTTCCGATCAATACATTTTCTAGCATATTTTGTTTTATTTATACTAAAAAAACAGTTTTTTTTCTTTGTCAATCCTACCCCGATACGACGTTTTACGAACTTTGTCGGCTCATATCTCAGAAACTAAACATACAAAACTTTTTAAACTCACATATTTTTCCAATGAGCCATCCCACAATACAACATAGTATAATTTCAGCAAATTCGACAGAGAGCCAATTTCCCGTGTTTTCGTGCGGGGTCCTTTCTTGAGAATTCCAAGAATCTATGAAATCAATTGGAGAAAATGACAATACCAAAATTAGTTATTTGTTTTACTAGGTAGAAAAGTAGTAGAATGACTGCCGCGGCTGATAGTTCATTTCAGCCAAGGCAGTCAATCTACATTTGCTGCCGTGTGAAACAGAATTTTTTCTCCAAATGATATAAAACCAATTTTGTGTATTTTTTTATTGAAAACTCCATAATTTTGTGTTCAGCCAATGTCAGTATTAATACTGATTACTAATTTCATTAGAATTTCTTGGAACGTTGCATAGCAACAAACTTTTCCTGCCTAGGCATTAAAAAGGCACTTATTCTGCCTGTTGAGCAGCAGGAAAAAGCCAATACATTATTGCTTAAGTTAATGATTTTCAACAATAATCAAAAAATTTTATTTTGTTCTTTTTAGAGCGTTTCAATAAAAGCTTTTTATTAAAAAGTTAATTTTTTTTACATTTAATATATTTTTTAATTTTTAGTTATCGCTAGCTGGATTTTTCGATTTACCCTCAACGAGCTTTTTCATTTGATACCCATATTGTAGAAGTATATCGAAAATGACCATTCCGCCATCTTGGATGGTCCGCCATAATGGATTTAGAATGACGTCACATCATTTTTCGAGTTACTCTCAACGTGCCTTTTCATTTGATACCCATATTGTAGAAGTATATTAAAAATAGCTATTCCGCCATCTTGGATGGTCCGCCATATTGGATTTAGAATGACGTGACACACCTTATCGTGCACTGTCATCCAAACTGAACGTGTATACAAAATTTCAGCTCAATCGGTTGAAGATTCCACCCGAACATACATACAAACATAAGATGCAAGTTATTTAAATAATTTAAAAACAATCCTATAAAATGCAACACTTGCTGTGATTAGCTTGAACACTCTGGATGTTTATATCCAGCAAAATTTCACCCTGTAGATGTAAATCAGAGCCAACTCAGATTTAAAAATTTGTTTTGTTAATGACAAATACCCAAAATGTTCAATTTCATTGGAATGTTGAAAGACTGTTTTCTTTTCAATTGAAATAAAAATTATTCTGCAATGAATTGTATTCAAGTTGGCATGTTCTTTTTGTAATTTTGTCATTTTTGAAATTTTGGTTGCCAAATTAGAAATGTTTCAAGAGGAATAAGACTTTCAACTTAAAATATATATATATTCCTGGAGAGTCTTTAATACAAAAACATGATACACCTCAGATAAAATTTATTGTGTAACACCAATATAACATTCCATCAGTCCATATAAAAGCACAACACAATCCAGTCCATCTGAAGCACAGAGAAACCAATCACTGAAAAAAAAAATATATATTAGCAATGTGAAATATACAGTTTATTGGATTTTTCACAGCAACCAAGTTGAATTTTTGTTAGAATATTCACTCAGTAATCAGAATGTTAGGAAGGAATTCATAACAACATTCATTTTTGCAATACAAAAAGGTTAATACTTTTTCAGGTTGAGGTTAAATATCAAGTGGGTAAAAATCTGGGGGAGGGGGGGGGGGGGGCACAAAAGAACCTTACTAGAAATTATTTCTTTCCTCCCTAGAAATATAAATAAAATGAGCAAGATCCAAAATATAGTTTTCAATCAATTTTCAGTTTCCACAATGTTCACCAACAATTAATGTTAGCACTAACCTTTTTGGCTGCTGCACCAACTTTGGTCTTCTTAGTACCCCTGACTTTCTTCATCCTGTTTTTACGTTCTTTACGCTGCTTACGGGTCTGCTGTTTCTTCTCAAACAGACCATGCCTGGCTAGCCTGTGTTTGGGTTCAAATTTCTTTGCAAAATCTAAGGTATCATAGAGCAGACCAAAACCTGTGGACTTACCACCTCCAAAGTTTGTTCTGAAGCCAAATACGAATACAACATCAGGGGTAACCTAGAATAAAGAGAAATTTAGTTGAAGAACTATTCAGGAGGAAATAGTGTTTACTTACTTTGTACATTTTGGCTAATTTCTCTCTTATGTCGGATTTTTTAACCGAGGGTTGGCCAGGATGCAGGACATCTACAACCATTTGCTTGCGAGCCAACAATCTGTTGGTCATGAACTTGCGAGTCCTAATAGTAGCTGTACCTTCCGTCTGTAACACATAAGTCGTTTACATGAAATTAGAGGTTAGGTCAGGAAATCATCAAATATCTACAAAAATCATAGAATAATTTCACAAAATCTGGTAGCAAACAATTTTGGGAATACAAATCTTCCCTTAGGCTTGAATTGGAATAGTAATATAACAGGAATTGAATAGTTATGGAACTTTTTCGGAAAACAAATACTGTATCTGTCATTCAATCATGATGAACACTAGCCGAATAACAATTTTTTTAAAGCAATCAAAACATTATTGGCGAAAAATCCAAGTGCAGGACACTTAACAAAACTTTGGTTTTCACAATTTTGCCGTCTATTTCATGATATAATTCGAGATGTTGAATATTTCAACGGATAATTATTCACGTACCATTTTGGTTAGCACAATTCACTGCGCGAAAAGAACGCCAAGTAGGAAGAACGGCATAGTTTCGAACTAAAAAGCATGTGCTTCCGTCCTCTCGGAAATGGCGGGAATCTTAAATCAATTTTGCTTTTGGCAAGTAAAAGAGCAATTAAATGAGATATTCGATACATTCGGAACTAAAATAATGCTCAATGTTCTAATTTGATGAAGCAGATGCCGATAAATAATACTTTTGTGTAAGTAATCTCGAAATAATTTTAGATCTAGTGCCTGGCTAAGTTCTGTCTGAGTTAGAAGCTAGAAGGAATAAAAAGAGTTTCAATGATTTTTCAGAAAGAGTGTGGTTATGTTATGACGTCGAAAGTTTGTAAAGTCAAAGTTTGTTTATTGTTTAGTTTGCTCAGCTGAGGATTTTATTTGATATCGATATGAAAGGAATTTTATTAGATTTTATGATAGACCAGCAAGTACAGTGAAAGTTTTCGACCCTATATCATCTCTCTTTGTCTGCAGGCTTTAAAATCAGTTGTAGCTGATAATATGTAAACATCCATCCAGCAAACAATTAAATAATAAGAGATTACTACTTAACAAAGCACTTTGATAAAAACACACTCCTATCTTTATCGTAAATGTAAATAACCATTCTCGAAAGTTTTTTTGTGCAATTTTCATTCTTCCTGCTGGCATCAAAATGACTGGCAATGAAAATAATAATAGTGTCTGCCCTTTACTGAAAAATCCAGATTCCTATAATCCAGATACAGTGGATCTTATCAATAATCTCAAAGCCAGAAATTATTGGCTGCCTTGTTTGGAACAAATGGTGAAGAAATTCGTAAAGAAAGCCCAACATTTGAATCCTAATGATCCATATGCTATGAAAAAAGCTGAAGCATGCTTTCAAGATTTCCATGATCTAGTTGAAAAACTTTCCACAGATCCTATGTGAGTAAATATTTACACAGTATTTCACTTCCAATTTACCTTCTATTTTCCCCATAATTTTAGGACATTGAAGCCTCTTAGTGTAAGAACTCTCTTGGAGTTTCATGAAGACAACTTGAGAGCAAGAAACTTGAAAGATGCCTGGCTTCTACAGAAGGAAACAGAAAGTGCCCAAGCCCTACTGGAGTTCAGGAATAGAATTGACAAAATTGATTCAATCTCAAAATTTGAAGACAAATGGCTAGAAATTATACAGGGAGTTCTTGCTGGTAATGTTTTTGATTGGGGGGCCAAGGCTGTGATAGAAATCATTGAGAGTTCCAAAGAGTTTGGTTTTATAGATGCTTTGAAGACAATTGAGAGAAGGCCTTGGTTTCATGATGATTTTGATACTTGGCTTGATAGAATAAAGGTAATAAGTCCTCACAAAATTGTGAGCAAAATTGAAATAAGTGAACATGGCAGATAGGAATCTTCTGTTGAAAATACTCAGTTTTATCAGAATAATTACATTATAAAATTGTCTTGATACAGATTACATTGTTTTTTTCATGATAATTGATAATATATAGCAGTAATAACTTCCTTGTATTCAAATTAGCTTATATAATCTTAAGTGTTAACATTTTCATCTATATTGACAATTGGCATTTATATTTGCTTTTATTCCTGCTAATATATAATATAATGTAATGTGTTATCAGGTCAAACAAGCTGAAAGCTGATTCTATCAAAAATTAACATATTTGGCTAGACAATGTACTTAATGCAAATTTTTTAATGATGTTTGATTTCATAATCTATAACACTGAGTAACTGAAGTATATTACATTTAATTTTTATGATTGCTAATGAAATGATAATGATTCAAAGTATTTTATCTAGTATGAATTTTTTGTGTCCATAGAATATGAATAATTAATCATTATGAAGTTTTTACATTTACCATGGATTTTCATCAAGTTATGGTCAATTAAAAAAAAAAAGGAAAAAAAATTGACACAATGTTTGTAGGTGAACAATCAGAAGCAAAGGGAATTCATTTTTGGTGCATGTTGTATGTATATTCACAAGCATATTTTTTTCAAGGTTCTGATTCATTTATCCAAATGGTTTTTTACAATCATTCAGATATCCAAAGTGGGGTATTCAGTATTTACGTATTTTGAATATTAACTTAATTACTTTCTCTTTTCCTTTTGGAAGTTTTTTTCAAGAAGCTATTCAACTTGCTTTTGATACTGGGTATTCCAATAAAAATATCAGTACTGTATGCATAGACAATCTCTACTGGCTGGTATTGTGTGGTTTGCTCTGGGTCATCTGTATGTTAGCTATTGGCAAGGTGATCGACCGTTGGGGGCGCTGTTTCAAAACAAGATGGCGGCAAAGAGTGTGTAGTTTGTTTACAAAATTTCTTGAGATTTGCATACATTTTCTTCTTGATATTTCATCGTGTTATTTGTGTTTATTGTTGGACTTTTTACTGAAATCATAATATTTTTTGTTGGATCATACTGTTTCATCGTGATGTGAGGAAAATAACTGTTACCTACTGACTGAATCGTGGACCAAATAGTCTGAGCTTTCTTCAAACCAGTGCATTTCTGTGGGACAGCTTCATGGGATATCAAGAATCACAAGCATATCCACTATCATCAGAAGCTGATATATTCACCATCATACCTCTATAACTCCACTCTTCAAGCAAAAGGATCCTTCAGACTTGCTTCAGACCACAAATGGTGATACCAGGAGTGGAGTTTTTCAACAGTGAATAGCCTTCTGTGAACATATTGAAAGCCATCCCTAAACAATGTGTTAACCTATTGGACTATTTTGTGCTAAATATTATAGCCATCAGATCATCAGAATCATGTGCAATTGATCCATACAATAGAAATCAGCAGCAACCAGCTCTAATGAGTCTAAACCAAGAAATAATTCAACATTCAACACCAAAGGCATCCTGACATTACTGTGGATTTGATAGTAGATACAACCATCAATGGCCTATCTTCAACAATATTACTTCCAGGCTTTGAGGATTGTTTACAGTGCAACTCCCATACCTCATATATTATGGTGCTCCACTGCAATAACAGCAAATTGTCATGATCCTATGTACCATGTGTGTGAATTGTATCCATATAACACACTTTTCATTATGTGAATATTCCTAATATACTTAGAGTTGAGGTAGGTGGCATCCTAGACTGAGTTTTCTTCTTGGAATTCATTTAATACCTTGTAAAGCTAGTTTTTTTTTTACCATATTGTTGAAATCATTGAATAATTTGGAATTCCACCACATAAAACATTGATCAAATGACCTAGGATTTCAGTTAATGTATTTACACAGTATATCATCATAAATTTTGTGATTTTATATCATTTTGTAATCCTAAATTCATCTAATTGAAAATATCTATCTTATCAATTTGTATAGTTCATTATGTTTTGTATATTTTGGAACTGAATTAATAATAATTTTTGAAAATGAAAGTACATTGACATAACATGTGTTTTTCTGTACTTATACCACTCCAAAGAAGTCCAGAAAGAAGTACCTACAAATAGATGGATCTCCAGTATACTCCTTTCCTCAGTGCTCATGTATACTGTTTTCCCTGAATTATTTTACAAGATACCTTCATGAAAATTTACAATTATGAATGATTTTGAAATCCAGGACTTTCATATATTATGTATAAATGAATTAACAATGAGCAAAAGTACGTATTTACCTGGTAGGTACCTATTTTAAAAGGAATCAGTAAAGATTATAAAGTGAAACTTCGAAATTGCATCAAAAAAGAATGGGGTGTTGATTGAGGTACTTGTGGAATTAAAATATGAATTTTGAAAACCTACAATAAAACATTACAAAACAGAAAAAAAAGTAGAACTTTTACTTATGAATAAATACAATTTAATGAATAACATACAAGCAGTAAAATTATGGATACATCTTTCCAAGATACAATTTGAAATGTCATGGATATGTTCAAGTACCCAAATAATCAGTGATATCTCCTTAAAAACTTGAATTCAACTTCAAGGAATCTAGGTTTTGGTTTCAATTTGTGTAGCTATTTGCACTCAATTGTAAGATACCCTGGATGGCAACTCCTCCCCTGCTGAAAAATTTAAGAAATGTTAGTACCTTCTCTAAACAAACCATATCTATTAGATTGTGTCACTTCAATGTATGTTCAAAGATTCAATTCCAGCAATTCAAGCTATGAAGTAAGCTACCTACAATGACCTGCTTGTACCAGGGTTATTATATATCTATAAAATATGCTACTGTTTTTGCTCATGTGAATGTAATTGGGAGCTGTATTTTAACTTAATCATTTTGGAAGTACATGCAATCTGCATTGGCTATTTTACTACAAAGATGATACTACAAAATAGGAATCTATGGAGGCCTAGGCAGGATGTCATGAACAAGATTTTAATATGAGTCAAGCATTACAAATAAAACCATAAATTACCAACCTTCACATGTTCATAATGTCTTTTTTCTTGCCCAGCTTTGTGTGTCGCAGTTCAAAAGTCAAAGGCATTGAATTTGCTTCTTTATTTTTCTTATGAAAATATTTGAAAGAAAAACAAAGATACTTATTTTTCCAAGTCCTGGAGACATTTCCCCATAAACAAAATAGGTATAAACTGTTGATAATTTCAATCATGTTCTCTCTCAGATAGGCACTGCAAGTAAGAGTTATTCATCAGTAATAAATATATCAGTGAATCACAAATTTACCTTATTGTTATCATTATTGGGCCAATGAATTGAAGAAAGGTAGGAAGTTTTTGTTGGAGCTGCATACATCCAGTTTTCAAACTCATATTGGATTCTCAACGTTTATCCATTTTTTCCATTCAGCTGAACTGATTTTTCATTATCAGAGAAGACTTCTTGAGTGCAGGAAATTCATATTAGAGGACATATTATAGGTCCTACATCCATTGGAACCTTCTACTAGTTCAACCAGCAACCAAACACAGTTGATTTCGCGTATTTTCAGAGATTTGTTGATACTAATTTATAAAATAATATAGAATTGATTAGGCAATTGATATAAAGTTCATGTCTTGTACTCAAGAGACGCAAGAAGAGAAAATTAACGTAATTTGTTGAATGGTATTCATAAAATATGAAACCATCTGAACACAATAACAAACATGACCTTGAATTACGTCCTAAACTGGTTCAAATTTGCCCACCAGGTGCCGTATCGGAATCGTCACCTTGCCAATAAAGGTGTCAAATAAAAATATGAAAAAATCGGCACTTCTGTTGAAATTATCATTTTTTTATCAGATCAATATGCTGTTGAATTGTTTGAAATTATTGAAAATAAAATTTTGTTTTACATTGAAAACTCAACAGATTTAACATAATTCAAATTGTTACTAGTTTATTTACACACAAATTTTGAATTTCATTCCATCATCATGACAAGCTTTTATGATCATATAGATTGTGCATGATGAGGTTATGAATTGATAGTTGAAATTTAAGAGGAAAATTCAATTTTCTTCTTTTTAGAGCGATCAAATAAACACTTTTTTATTTATTTTTCACTTTCAATTTATTTTTATAGGCTAAGTTTCCCAGTATGACGCCCATCTCGTCAAATTACACAAGTCAAAGTCAATCAATGGATGTTACAGGCCTAAACATTATTTTTTTAATCCTGTATTTTTATTCTCAGCAAACCGTTTAATTTTATAGGAACGCACAAAAAACTTCACTAGTGCGCCACATTAGATTTAAAGTAATATCAGCATTTCTAATTATCATCGGCAACCCCTTCATTTGATAGGTACCCATATTGCAGAAGTACATTAAAAGTAACTATTCCGCCATCTTGTATGGTCCGCCATATCGGATTTAGAATGACGTCATATTCTTTCTCGAGTTGCTCTCAATGAGCCCTTTCATTTGATACCCATATTGTAGAAGTAGATTACAAATAACTATTCCGCCATCTTGGATGATCCGCCATATTGGATTCAGAATGACGTCACATCATTCTTCGAGTTGCTCTCAAGGAGCTTTTTCATTTGATACCCATATTGTAGAAGTTGGTTAGAAATAACTATTCCGCCATCATGGATGGTCCGCCATATTGGATTTAGAATGACGTCACTTTATTTTTCGAGTTGCTCTCAACGAGCCCATTCATTTGATACTCATATTGTAGTAGTGCATTAAAAATAACTAGTCCGCCATCTTGGATGGTCCGCCCGATCGTGCATTGTCATCCAAACTAAAAGTGTATAAAAAATGTCAGCTCAATCGGTTGAAGGTATCTACTTCAAAATTGTGTTCAACGATTCCACCGGAACAAACATACTATAATAACATACAGGGTCTTCACATATACAGGGTGTTGCGAAATTCGACCGACAACACTTGACAAGCTATAGCCCTCGTGATTTCATAATCACTGAGATAAGGAAATTAGGTCTTCAAGTGTTCAGTTCTCGAGATACAGGGCGTTAAAGTTGAGAAATAGAAATAGTTTTTCCGCAATATCTCAAGAATGATTGAATATAATGCATCCAAATTCGGTATATGGTTTCATATTCGAATGGGTCATTATTTGACCAGAAAACCATTCCAGACATTTTATCCAGTGGTGTCCTACAGGGGTTTGTGGTAACTTTTCATCCCATATTTTCTACGCCACTGATGAAATTTCGATTATTTCCAATTCCTCGAATTCATTGTTCGATTTTGTTAAAAAAATGCATCACCTTCAACTGAGCTAAAATAAACAGTTTTCGAGATGTTCGACCCGAAATAGGAGATTACATAGTAATATTTCATCATTTTCAGTAGTAGAAAATTACAAAAATATTTTTCTGGTGTTGAGTTGATTAGATATTATTCAGATCTCATTCTGTAGCTGAATAGACATAGTTATTCCACGCATAAAGAGAAAACAAATATTTTTGTAATTTCCTACTACCGAGGAAGATAAAAAATTACTATGCAAACTTCCTATTTGGGGTCAAATATCTCTAGAACTGTTCATTTTAGCTCAGTTGAAGGTGATGCATTTTTTGAACAAAATTGAACAATGAATTCGAGGAATTGGAAATAATCGAAATTTCATCAGTGGCGTAGAAAATATGGGAGGAAAAGTTATCACAACCCCCTGTAGTGCACCTCTGGATGAAATTCTTGGAATGTCTTTCTTGTCAGAAAATGAACCATTGAAAGATGAAACCATATACCGAATTTGAATGTGAAATATTCAATCAAATCTGAGATATTGCGAAAAAACTATTATTATTTCTCAACTTCAATGCCCTGTATCTCGAGAACTGAACATTTGAGGATCGTATGTCCCTATCTCAGTGATTATGAAATGACGAAAGCTATCACCTGTCAAGCGTTGTCGGTCGAATTTCGCAACACCCTGTATTTTGAACCCCTATTCAACTTGTTACATTTTTAAAGGTGCAATTATTCAAAAAATTAAGTTCTACGCCAATGGCAGAAAAGGGGTTTGAGTATGAAATTTGGATTGGGTACTCATTTACTACAAAAAAGACTCGATTTACTCTCATGGTTTTGACAAAGTTTGAATTTTATTAATCATTTTTTATGTTCTAAAATTACTAAAATGCAAATTTCGTCAAAGCCATGAGAGAAATCGAGTCTTATCAAGTATACCTTTTTTAAAGTAAATGTGTGCAATCTAAATTTTATACTCAAACTCTTTTTCTTCTATTGGCGTAGAATTTTTAAAGGTGCAATTATTCAAAAAATCAAGTTCTACGCCTATGTATTATTATCGGACGAAATTGTAACACCATTTTTTTGCCGCCTAAAATTCTATCAATATACTAAATTTCAGCAAAATCGCATATGCCGTTTTAAATTTATATGGGAAAAACGATTTAAAAATTGTTAATTCAAGGCCCTCTGGAGCTCAAACGATGCAACTTTGTACTGAGGTAATTTTACTTAAATCGACTCCTTTTGTTCTAAGGAATATGTGGTATATGTCTTCGTAAATACCTTTTACAGACACCCTGTATATTCTCAATATTGATTTGACCTTTTTTCTGTCACAGTAAAAAATAGTGTAGGGAAAAATATGAGATTTCAGCTCACGGTTTTTTGTCTCTGTACTCTCTGTTCAAGTAATATGCCGCCAATTTGAGAAACATCATAACCAACATATTGAAATTTTCGTAGCACAAGCCACACAAATCTTGTGTAATTTTCGTCGACAATTCAGGAGTAGATTTCATCCTGGGCATCCTGCCATTGGCCAGACAGTTACTCTCTTACGGAACAAACGTAGTTTTGACGGCAAACAGCCATCCAGCTCTGAATGACGTCACTTTCCGAGAGCTCCAATTGTACTGTCACAGAGCCGCGGAAAGCTGTGGCATCATCGAGAGAGCCATGAAAGAAAGACGGTTGGTTCTGGTGGAGAACGGTCAAAGAGGGCCGTGCCTAGATCTTTCCACTCTGTCATCAGGTAACCGGAAAAGTCAAATGCCTTCAAATTGATAGTTATAGGTTTGTCAGTGATATGTTTCATGAAGGTGAAAAAATAATCTTTAATTCAGTTAAAAATGTATTATTCTTGAAGACAACAAAAATCGAATTATAAATGTCAAGTTCACTTTGACCCGGAAAAAATGCTTGAGTTCAAGTTGGTAAGATAATTTGATGAATATGTTAAATCACATTTTTTTCAATTTCTCCACTCGAAGACTCTCATCCAAATCGCGACGTTCCACAGATTATAGATACTTTTCTGACAACGCAAGTTTGAGAAAACATGACATAAACACCATCAAAACTTCGTTTACAATTTTGATGGTTGTCATTGAGATAGTCATGCTTTCAAATGTTAAGTTTCGGTTCTGTCGCTGGAAAATTAAGGAGAAACATTTTTCGCTTTGTTAATGGCAAAATCACACCGGCTTATAAGATTTCATAATATATATATATATACATATACAGAGCGCATCATAAGTATCTAACTCGTTACGGGACCCTTGTTAGTAAAATCGCCGAGACCCGTCGATTTTTGATTTCTACAGTGTACATTTTCATAAGAATAGTTCACTCCTAATTTCATCCCTTACTGGAGGGAAGCAACCCTGTCAAAAAATTCAAATAGCATGGGGTGGTGAGTGATAGCTCATTTAAAAAGGGGTTTCATTCTCTATTCAACCGTGCAAAGAAATTGAAATTTCAAATGAGCTATCACTCACCACCCCATGCTATTTAAATTGTTTGACAGGGTTGCTCTCCTAGAGTAAGGGATGAAATTAGGAGTGAACTATTCCTACGGGAATGTACACTGTAGAAATCAAAAATCGACGGGTCTCGGCGATTTTCCTAACAAGGGTCCCGTAACGAGTTAGATACTTATGATGCGCTCTGTATATGTATATTATGAAATCTTATAAGCCGGTGTGATTTTGCCATTAACAAAGCGAAAAATGTTTCTCCTTAATTTTCCAGCGACAATACCGAAACTTAACATTTGAAAGCATGACAATCTCAATGACAACCATTAAAATTGTACCTTGACGATAGATAGGGGGGGGGGTAACACTTAAGATGCGCTCTGTATAAATTAAATAGTCAAAATGATAAAGGAACTTACTTGCTGCAGTTTTGTCCTTTTTCAGCTTCTGGGAAAGAATATATTAGATACTAGTTACGTGTTGAATGAAATCCCAGCGAGCACAAAAACATCTCAGAGATGTTAAAAGTACGAGATTTCGAGACATTGAACCTCCACTGCGATGTTCTTCTCACACATGAATAGAACTATTATAGAACAGCCAATGTCCGCCGCAGGCGGCAATTATCGAGATCTCCTTGATATGTCACAAAACTATACCTTCTCCCTAGTTCTTTTTAAAGCCTTTTCATGGACACAACAAAACATTTTCAACGCGTCTTGCACTCATTAAATCGCTGTAAAAAAAAACATTTTCGAGGTACTTTTCTGAAGCCTTTCGTCAAAATGAACTTTTGCATTAGGATTCCATTTCCCTTGAATGAAAAAATGCATTAAAAATAGATTGAACATAAAAATATTTTCTCGATATGAAGTTACCTTCTTAATCGGTTTCTGAGTAGTACACACAGACATATAATTGGAAATAAGTTTCCCAATTTTTGAAATGTTCTCCACAATGCATAATTCTGCAACTGCGGAGAAGCTGTGTATTGATGAATTCGTACTTTTATATATTGATTACACTGAGGCACCGAACAACACATCTTGCATCTGATGGTCATTATTACAAACTAAATAAGTCTTCTAACACAATAAACTTCACCAAATTCCTTTCTGTTCGTTAGCAGCGTGATGTGAGCGTGACACGCTGCAAACGCGAATGCCAATTGCGAACAAGAAGAACAAAATCGAAAACAAATCAGAATTCTTCGTATTGTGACGAAAGCATGAGACGTTGTGGTGGGGCAAACAAAGAAAGGGCACAAAAGAACAAAAACAATATTTTCAATATCCTTTCTAAGACCTCTTTAGGAAGTGCATATTACGCCTCAGAAGAACATCCTCATGCCCACATTTCTAAAACATCCCAAGACATCCCAGGGATGCCTCTCAGTAGGCAAACAAAGAAATGCCACAGAAGAACAAAAACAATACTTCAATTCAAAGACCTCTTTGGACAGTGCATATTTCGTTTCAAAATAACATCTTCATGCCAACATTCTCAAAACATCCCAAAACATCCCAGGGATGTTTGTGCTCGCTGGGATAAAACTAATTTTGGGAATCTTAATATAAATTTCGATTGGAACACTGAAATTTCTTCGATCGTCTGGGGAGGAAAATTCATTCAGTGATATGATGTGGACTTTTCAGGTTTGTGCGATCTGATGAAATCCGCCGACCTCGTGATCATAGAAGGCATGGGTAGAGCAGTGCATACGAACTTGTACGCAGAACTGACGGTAGATTGCTTCAAATTGGCTGTGCTGAAGAACGAATGGCTGGCCCACAGTCTGGGGGCTCAGCAGTTCTCCGTGATTTGTGATTTCAAAGCTGCAACTTGATTGTTTCATTGATACGTACCTGATTATTATTGAATTATTGAATAGAGTTTTAAATAAATTACCTAAACAACATGCTGTTTTTTTTTGTTTCCATCCTGCGAGATACAGAAGATATTAAAAAAGTGTTTTAAAAGTGTTTTAAAAGTGTTTTTTAACCGCCAGCTTAGTTGCAAAGCAACCCTCGAAAGTCAGAGACTTGTGTGAGTTAAGAAGACGGGGACCTTAGCTTTTTAAGTGTCATCCGAAGCACACTCTGTTGGAGCTCCCCGATAATACCCTGTATGGATTTATATCCACCTTTCCTGTATGCAAATCATGGTGACAGCGTATTGGTAAGTGTGCATTAGAGCTGAATTCGAATAATAGTAGATTGTTTTATTAGGATCAAAAGTGAAACTTTGTTTGACAAGCGAATTTTGCATTTGCGAGGCGGAGTGTTTAGCGAAGACAAGCGAAAGCAAAATTTGCCAGTCGAACAAAGTCACTTTTGATCCGAATAAAACATGCTATTTTTTCTGCAACCGAAACAATTAACTCAAATAAACATGTGAAGTAACCACCAATGCCGTGCCATATGTATGCAGTGCAACAAATATTGATAAATAATCCATGTGGTGAGAATATTCTACCTGCATTAACAGCGGGTTAGGTTTTCTAGTTTCTAGTTTCAATATAAATACAACCACAGAGTGACATATTTGTGTGTGGACCAGGTGCTCTAATGGCAAATACCGCGCCAGTGCCAGCTATAGGAACAAGACGTGGAAAATGTTAGGTTAGTGAGCATAATGTCAACTCCTCTCCATACTACACTGTGTTTGACTTGATAATCAAATGAAGCTAAACAATATCGTTGTTTGGGACAATGAGTACATGCTTTTTTATTCCTACTTTAGCTCCTAGGAACTAAAATTCAACTTTAGCTCCTAGAAACTAAATATATGTTGTCTAGCAACATACCTATTTTTGTGTCAGTAATAGAAACGTCAATTTAAGAGCTAATTTTGGTATCAAAATGGACGACTTTTGTGTCTGTTGCAGAAAAAATATATTTAAATTTGCGGCCATTTATGATTCATCAAACGGTTCTAGAGCGAATGTAAAAACTTCACAAACGATAAGATTTCCACAAAATTCTCAAACACACGATATGTTTCGCTAACACAGTAGCTTGTCAGGTGATATCCTGGTACGATCAAGGTTCGATATTTTGGAAACCATAAACCTCAGGACTTCGAGGAAAATAATTAAGGACTGAATCGGCCAAGAAAAATTGATCGGAAATATTTTCTCAAGTTAAAAAACGACCGCTAGGGGGCGCAATCTTTATGATGAAACTAAAAATTGAATTTTTCTCGAAAATCACTAAATTAAGGTACTGTTTCAATGACGGAAATGCAGAATTCATTAAAATTCACGTCAGTTTTGTGCCCGGACTTTTTTTCATATTTTGAAAAATAAAGGTGAGGAAAGCTGGTGAAGAAATCATTTTTGAAAACGGTTCATCTCCGATATCTTTTCTCCAAATTTGATCGACTTGGGCTCATTTGGAAGAGAATTTCACACCAATTTAAACACTGAATTTGACATTGATCTCTAGTTCTCACAGCGTCTACTAGATGGCGTCGTTCACCCAAGATTCTGTTTTTTTGAATTTTTTCAAAGGAATCAAATGGGATGCTACATATTTTCATCACCAGATCCAAAACGCATAAAATAAGCTACATTTTGGCGAAAACCTCGATTCGATATATTCTGAACTCTGCATTTCCGTCTCTGAAACCTTAACTATACCTTAATATAGTGGTTTTCGAAAAAACTTGAATTTTTAGTTTTATCATAAAGATTGCGACCCCTAGCGGTCATTTCATGAACTTGAAAATATTTTCTATCAATTTTTCTTTGCCGATCTAGTCCTAGATTTTTTTCCTCGAAGTCCTTAGGTTTATGATTTCCATGATATCGTACCTCGCCGACCTTAGTGGGACACCCTGTGTATCCTACTTTCCCAACCTGAAGGATTAGTAATACCTTTAGACAAGTTCGATAAACCTCCATTTTCGGAAATTAGGCACATATCTACATTAAAAAACGGTGTACTAGATTAACTTGAAAGAGTTGATATCAAATACATATTATTACTTACTAAGAAAACAAATTCAACAGTGGTGAACTATTGAGGTCTAATTGATCGCTAAGTAAAATGTCAGAATTTTTGCGAGTTTGTTGATTTCTAATGATTCAAAATGATTGATTTTCATTCCTTTATTTTCTGCGTGTAGAATTTCGAAATTATCATCAAAACTATGGTTTTCTTTCAATATATGGAACATACGCCATGTTGAATTTATTTTCTTTTTCAAAAAATTTATCTTATATGTTCATGAATGCGCTGATCAAATGTACGGCCTGTCTGACCAATATATCTTTTAGGACAAGATCCACAGTTGAGTTTGTATACCCCCGATTTTTCGAATTTAGAAGTTTTCTCTTTATTATTCTTGATAAACCTTCCCAAGAAGAAGAACGTGGTATTTCCGAATTATTAGGTCAAAGTTTTATAATTCTGATTATCGTTTCTGATATGGTGGGATATGAAATTTTTGAATTGCCTTTTCACGTAGCTTCTCAGAAATAATATTGTTTATATTGCTCCACAACCAATGAGAAAATAATCACATAACAATTATTCATTTTCACCGTAGTTGTGTACGGAGATACACAGAATTTATAAGTAATATATGCGTTTTTCATGTTATGAAATATCGTAGATTTCAATCAATACTGCTATTGAAGAGTATACCTAAATAGGAAGAAAGGGACTTTCGCCTGATACCGATATTGAATTCAACCCTACATTGTATAGGAAGGTACAGAAATAGAATCAGGACAAGGCTCTTATGACAATGAAGTATTCTATCTATATACGGGTATAATATACAGGGTGATCCAACTAAAACTTCACATCCCGATTTTATTATTATTATTACTATTATTAGAGTAGACATCAAGTTCGTTCCTCCTCGAATCAGAAATCTATGGGTCCGACCGTTTTTCTAGATTTTCATTTTATAGCCCTGAAATCGGAGTGTGAAGTTCTCGTTGGACTACATATGCACCCTGTATACAGGGTGATTCACGGTGGATGGCACATTAGAAGTTTCTGGATATCGAAACTCAGGATTATCCTGGAAAGTTGGTGCCTTGGATAATAACTTGTTTTCTATTGACCTAAAACATTCTCAGCGTTGCGACGTTGCCGCTTATATTGAAAAGTAGCAACAACTTTGATTTTTTCTATGGAACACCCTGCATATCATTCAATTTTCAGATTCTACCTGAAGAGCTGATTCCATCGATTTATCACACTTGGGGTCTAGCGGGAATGATAACAAAGATATTAGGGTGTGAAAAATCGAAATTCTTCAAGTTTACGAAATTTTTGTGTCGAAACTATTCATAATTGATAAAAACGGTTACCATTATGTCCCTGTCTTAACTTTTTATGAATCATCAATTGATATTTGATTTAAATAAATACAGGGTGTTTCAGAAGTAAGATTTTTGACCACCCTCTGTATCTATTTCAATTAAATATCAATTGATTGATTGATTGATTGACATGAAAAGTTGAGATAGGGACATGAAATCCGGTTTGATCAATTATGAAGAGTTTCGACACAAAAAATTCTTGAAGTTGAAAAATTTCGATTTTCCACAACCCTATATCTTTGTTATCATTTCCGCTAGACCCCAAGTGTAATAGATCAATGGAATAAGCTCTTCAGGGAGAATCTGAAAATGGAATAATATACAGGGTGTTCCATTGAAAAAATCAAAGTTGTTGCCACTTTTTAATATAAGCGGCAACGTCGCAACGCTGAGAATATTTTAGGTCGATAGAACACAACTAATTATCCAAGGCACCAACTTTTCAGCATAATCCTGAGTTGCGTTTTCCAAAAACGTCTAATGTGCCATCCACCATGATTCACCCTGTATATAGGCTATATGAATAACTTATCTGCTCTTCCACCTACGCTGCTCAAATTGAAAGCGACACGTTTTCATCTTCCTGTTCGTTATCTCTTCCACTTGATCCTTGAAAGTACGTCATTAAAGAAGGGTGTATAATACAGGGTGATTCCAAAATGACAAGATTGGAAGAAGTTTTCTTGTTGGCACAGCATTTTCAAACTTTATGGCTAATACAGTGGTGACATCTAAATTGAGAATGATTCATAATTAACATTATTGAGTACAGAGTGGTCGTCAGAAGACGACAAAGTCAATGAGATTGAAATAAATCAATTTTATCATCATCGCGAATATGAAAATCTCAAATTTTGGAAATCTTGAATTTGAAATAATTTTTGAAGATATTATAATGTTTTCGTAAGTTTCGAAAGGGATGTGGTGTTTTAAAGTATTAGTATTAGTATTATGACAAATTGATACTCATTATACAGGACGTGGAAAGAAATTCTGTTGAATATTCAGAATGATACCATGTGCATACATATTTTTATCTGAAAGGAGAATACAGATTCTCAACTTCAGAAGATTTTGTTTTCTAATTCTTATCGTGTGTGTCCAATAGATATTCGATGTTCGTCGTGGCATAATAATATACCATGGAAAGTAGTTGTTTTCTGTTGAATAAACCGAGAAAGAATTGATATTTTCATCACATAATAGCTAGAGAATGCGAATTCTCAATGTATTTATGTAAATATATCCATTTTTTCATATGTATATAATTTATCTGAAAATATTCTTTTTCGATTTTTATTGATGAATCATTCCATATTCAGTGACTCCGTATCGTGTTCTAGAGGCTCTGTATTCAATAATATATTACTCGGGCTTCGTTCCAAACTTATAGACCAGGAAGTTTGTAAATTTCTGAAACGATTACGATAATCTTTTGAAAATTCTCGGATATTGAACAGTTAGAGAAGGTGTATAGTCGTTACCATCGAGATTGATGGTATAGTCCAAAAACTCAAATAATCATATCTTTACCACTTGAAATGGCCCCCATCGGATTTCAACGTAGAAAAAATTAAAAAATCTCATCTTTTGTCTCACCCTGTATAAACCACCTGTGTACACAGCCACCCTTTGACCTGGAGTGATGAAATTACGCGCTGCCAATAATAGAACCCTATAAATCTCAACAGTCGTGATCTGAAACAAATTACGCCAATCGATTGGGATAAGAACCAGTTATCAAGAGCGTTGTCATAGAAACATCTCAGGATAAAAGAAGCTTCCTGCTAGATTTTCAGACAAAAACAATCAGGTGTTCCACAGTTATTCAGGTAAGATTTTTGGTCATTCAATTATAGAAGATTGAAAAAGAAAGTTTTTCATTATGAATCATCAGTGATTTTTGACAACTAGAATATGCAATTTCCGTAATCGTTTTGAGAATTTTGACATTAATAATTATTCAATAAATTAGTGTATAAATTTTTTGAATTGACTCGGCCGTTTAAATCATCATCAAAACTATGATGTTCTTCTAATATACAGTATGATGCAAATGTATGGAATAAATTCATTTCAAAACAAGACGACTTTCGAAAAAAAACCAAAAACTAGAGTTTCGAACTTTTTTTTCGACGTATTTTTTTAACTAGACTACTCTTCGATGTTCAATTCTCAGTAGCATACCTCTGCAAGATTCAATTAATCTATTAATCACATGGTAATCCATTTTAATTTCAATCTTCTTATGCAACATTTTTACTGTTGAATAGACGATCGGTAGACCTTTCAATCAAGGTGTCACATGACCCCTATTTGTATTTGAAAAAATCGTCCATTACGTCTTTACTCCAACACCGGTGACGTAACATCTCTCATATGAATATCATGAGATGAGGCTTCAGAAATTAAAACTCACGTGTTCTTGGAATTTTTCCAAATGTCGCCCATTTCTGAAATAATGAATTTATTCCATACATTTGCACCATACTGTATGTTGGCGTATGTTGAATTTGCTTTCTTTTTCCATATATTCACCTTATGTTCATGAATGCGCCAATTAAACGTACGACCTGTCTGACCAATATATAACTTAAGACAAGATCCACAGTTGAGTTTGTATACAAGATCGTATTGAAAAAAAAATCAGGGGTATACATTGAACACAAATATGTACCTCGTGAAATTTTACTTCACTCAATAGTACATTTATTGTCTGTACGAAATATACAACACTTTGCATGAGTACCTAAGTTTATAATTATATTATTAGATCTTCTGGTTTTAAACGATAGGTTAAAGTTCAAGCTATCATAACACAGGCTCAGATAATATATTTCGTGGCAGCTTTGAATGAGTTCATGAAAATGTGAAAAATTGTCTCTGTTTTGACACAGAGATATGGGGAATGGAGACAAAAAGGCGGAAATCCAGATGCCTCATTGTTTTGGAGCCAAAGAATTATGGGACCAAGTGAGACAGGTCACATACGAAGACGTAGTCAGATACTTCTATCAACCCACGGACCCTTCAAGCTTAGGGATCATACGATTTTTTTTCGGTAAGCCCCAAAAACACCTGTAACTTCAAAAGAATTATTTGAACAAAACATTTCTCATTTTCATTCTGATGTATATGTGTCCTCTATGAAGTTCCTTATTATTTCATACGGATATCAGAAAACAAGTCTCAATTGAGAATTTTCATCCTGTATTTCAATTAGAGGTGAATTTTCGGAAACGTCTCGAGTTAATAGTCTAATATAAATAATGGATATCGAGAAGGCCGTTTCTGAATATACTGAATCAAATGGGCCATGGTTTTAGTCACCGTTTTTGATTTTGTTTACCGAAATGAGATTTTATCCTATTTTCTTATCACCCTGTATATTTCACGATAGTGCTTTCCTCGTCTCTCATTGTCCTCCACCAAACATGAGAACAGTTCTTCCTAATATTCAGCTCAAGTGGAGTTCTATATAGACAAAAAATTTAAGAAATGCAAGACTTTCGAAAGAAAATTTCATTTTTGTTCCAATGGCCAAGGGAGGAGGCGAAATCACGTCCCGAGATGAGGTCCCAGTGTATCATAATATGACTGACTTTTGATCAGAAAAAAAATTCTCGAGTTCTGGCAGCATTGGAAATGTAGACCATAGTGTAATGGTTCTACTTTACACCCTGTGTAAATTTTGTTCTGCAGACTTTTTCAGAGTATTCAAACTCTCTTTGAAGCCGATGAACTATCATATCTGATATCGAAAACCGCATGGAGATCGGTCAATTTTTTGAAAAAATACAGGTCTTCGAAAAAGAGTCAAATTATGATGGTCCATTTTTAGTGTGTTGAGAACTGTATTTTCATTCTCAGAGTATCTTATATTTTTTTTGTCCCCTCCAATTGAAGATTTTTATTCTCTGAGAAAATATATTGGACCTGAGGATAGAAGATTTCTACAATTTATTTTAGGGTTGTTGATGTTGATGGACTTGTTGGAAGAGAGGGGCGGTGCAGATATAGACCTCAGATGGGGGAATCCCAAGGACTGTCATTTTCCATTGTTTCCGGTTTTGGTGAATCCTGGTTTCCCATGGATTTCCATCATGTATTTCTTCATGTGGCTAGGTAATGAAAAATTATTTCTGCAAGTTTTCCACTGAAAACATCCAGCAATACTTTTTTAGTCACGCATAAGTGATGAATAAACTTCAATATTTTAATTTTTTCAGGTGCTCTTGGAATTATGTTGGGCTTAAAATTCAGATTGAGCCTATTTTTATTCGGTATTTCTTATTGGTACATTTTGTTGCTTGATAAATCTTTCTGGAATAACCATAGCTACCTTTTCGGGGTTCTTGTTATTTTGTTAGCAGGATCTTCTGCCAATCACTTTGGGTTAGTTTGTAATGACTAAAACGTCCAAAATTCGACATTTTATTGTTTTTCAGTTCACTAGATGGCTACTTTGATCCATCGAAGAAAAATAAGCATGTCCCATATTGGAACTATTTCATATTGAAATACCAGTTTTTCATGCTATATTTCTTGGCTGGCCTCAAAAAAACTGACATGGAATGGTTACAGGGTTATTCCATGAGCAATCTAGGACACCACTGGGTATTTTTACCCTTCAGGTAAATATCAGGATTATCGAGATATTCTCTCATCACATACAGGGTGTCCTTAAAAGGTCTGAGGTTATATATAATTTTCCAGTCGTTTTTGCCTCATAACTTTGAAACGACTCGCATGAGACTTCACTCACTGGATACGTTGGCAAAGCAAGAACTTTCAGTAAATAAACATCTGAAACTTCTGCACCAATGAAAAGGAATAAGGGGTTTGAATATGAAATTTGGATTGTATAACTTGTTTACTAAAAAAAAGGCACTCTTGATGAAATTTGGTTACTCTCATGATTTTGACAAAATTTCAATCCTAGTAATTCGAAGCATCAGTCAATTCTACAACGATTATACAGGGTGGCATTGAAATAAGTGCAAATATTTCAAACACTGAGATAGCTCGACGTGTAGGTACTATCGAATGGCACTAATAAAAAAAATTCAGCGATCAGAATAAAATTTGAGGTTAGACCCCTTTTTCCACCCAAAGTTCTACACTGTAGCAAATCTGACGTCACCTCTGTTCAAATTTTCATGCGGTAGGCACAATCGCGCGGAGTTCAATCATTTAAATTATTTTAAAGTGGCGTGCTTGATTTTTTTCTCGTATTTTGTTCAATATTTGGAATGAAATTTCTCGTTGATTAAAAGAATTAGAAAAAATCTGATATCATGGGAATATTCCTTAGACTGTATCATATTAATGTGCGGAATATATGTGCACTTATTTCAAAAACACCTTGTATAACAGATATTTCATAGCCATTTTTCAAAATTTTCATCATTTCCACGTATGCAAAGATTTATACGTTAAACAAAGTTTGTGGAAACCATGAGAGTAACTTTTTGATGTTTATTTATTGAATGTTATTAATGTTTCAATTTTATGAAGCAAGAACGAATTGAAAATTGGAACTCCAGAGCTGTCTAAGCAATTTTGTACTGAGGTAAGTTTGCTTGTATAGAATTATCTCGGCCTGAGGAATATGTGGCGAATATTTGAAAATACTTTTTAGGGAGACCCTGTATATAACATTTTTTTCTTGATTCCTGACACAGACTTCCATTTGGTTGTGTAGTAATGAACGAGAATGAATAGACCAAAACTGTGATTTTTGTAGATATTTGCTATCTTCAGATCAAATCGACTACCTGATCGTTCATTGGTTCGGATTTTTGCTAGATTTGACGATAGGTTTTTGGCTACTTATCGAATTTACTCGTCCAGTGGCAATGTTTTTTTGTGCTGCTTTTCATTTAATGAATTCAAGATTGTTCAGTATTGGTAAGTAAATATTTATGTACCATTATACACATCACGATAATTGAAGATATTTCGACCCTGAATTCAAGTTACTTTTGCAACGATAAGTCTCTATGAAAAATGTAAAATTGTTTATTTCAAAATCTATGGAAATTCAGCCAAATCTGCTGGAAAAATAATTGTCCTTGCCTTTTACTTATTCAGTACAAGCCATCCACCTTGCTTTCAACTCACGTTTTTTTAGGAATGTTTCCCTACGTATGTTTGGCAACAATGCCTCTGTTTTGTGAGGAAACATGGCCAAGAAAACTCCAAACTCTTCTGTCGATAGAATATTCCCCACCAACACCATCCCAATCTTGTATTTACCGTAAAGAACAGATAGAAGCTTACATAAAAGTAGAGAAGTCTCACAAAAGTGATTGTATCAGGGATAAAGTAACGTGGAAGCACAAAATGGTCGTGGCTCTCTTGATGTGTCACTGCGGACTTCAAGTGTTTCTACCCTACTCACATTTCATCACCAAGGTCAGGATGACAACATGCCAATCAATATATGACTTATTTATGACTTATATATGACTTCTTTATGACTTATATATGACTTCTTTATGACTTATATATGACTTCTTTATGACTTCTATACGGGTGTCCCATTGGGAAACGGTGGGTAGACCTCATCAAGGTGGCTCTGAATAAACAATTTTCGGAGGGTTTTATATCCGAGGGTGTTTTATCAATTTTGTTCAATTATTCTTTGTGAGTTCATAACTTACGAACCACCCAGTATATTCTTTGGAATTCGGTACAGAATTCCTCCTTCTTCTACCAAAGCGACTTACCCATCAGTTACGATAAAAATCCAGGTCCGGATTAAAAAAAAAATAGTTATATTTCTGGTCCCCAAAAAGAACACCCTGTATTCTCGAATTTCCGAAATCCACTTACATAATTGTTATATGCATAGAAAGCTGAGTTTCTGATTTCGAATTTGTGGTTTTATGCATTTGGGTAGGTAAAAATGAAATGTTTTGAGTTTTCCAATCGAATAACAAAAATTACCAGGAACCATCCAGTACATTCTTTTGGAATTTGGTAGACAAGTCCTCCTTTTTCTACCCAAACAGGCCTATTAGACACGAGAAAAATTCAGGTCCGGAATAAATAAATTTGACCATAGTTCTGGGCCCCCAGAATAGCACCCTGTATTTTTGAATTTCCAAAATCCACTCATTTATTTGAAATGTGCACAAAAAGCTGAATCGAATATACTAACATATCACTTTGTTGAAATAAAATCATTTCCTCAAATGTTAGAACAATAAAAATATTGAAAAATCTACCTTCTCAACTTGAATCATAAAAATTACAACAATTTCTTGAAGTGTCCTCCATTTTGAACTAAACATTTTCTAGCTTTTTTTTGTACTGATGTTCGTATCACATTCTGATTGCTTTCCATTTCTCTACATGCTTCTTCAATTCTTTGAATCAGCTCCTTCCTGGTAGAAATCTCAGAAGAACATACTTCAGATTCAAGATAACCCCACAGGTGATAATCCACGGGATTCAAATCGGGTGATCTTGAAGTCCAGTTATGACAGCCGCATAATGCAAACTATATATTAATATAACTTTGAGTTTTTCACATTCACATCATCATTACATCAGCCGATTTGATTGGGATCCATAAATTTCAAAAAGATATACTGGTTGGTTCGTAAGTTATGTGCTCACAAAGAATTGAACAAAATTGATAAAACACCCTGTATATTGGATATAAAACTTGCAAGTCCCTACAAATATGATATATTCAGAACCACTTTGATCAGCTCTACTCACCATTGAAAATTTTTCGTTTCCCATTGGCTATAATATGTACTATAACTTCTTTATGACTTTCAGGGGTACAACAACTGGACCAAAGGTCTCTACGGTTACTCCTGGGACATGATGGTTCACTCCTGGAACACTGTCCTCGTGGTAGTCAAAGTTGTGGACAACGATACAGGGCGTGAACATTTTGTCGATTCGGAGGCATGGACGCTCAACGAAAGATGGAGCAAACATGCCGATATGTGCTTACAATATGCCCAATGTTTGAGGAGGAATCTCATTGGGAACCTCAAAGGTTGGTGAATGCGTTGTCAGATTGTCCTCAAAGGGTTCTATAAGAGTTTTATAAGACTTCGTACTCTATTTTCGTAGAACAAACTAATAGTGAGTTAACCACGAACCAGATTACCTCTGAGAATATATCAATATTTCTTGACGTTTGGTGTTCTCTGAACAAGAGGTTTCAGCAGAGGATGTACAACCCCCAATACGATTTGCTGAATGCCAATTGGTCACCGTTTCAGCCTGTGGAATGGCTGCTACCAGTACTTTCTGAATATAATGATTTCAGAAAAACTATGGACGACATCAGTGAAGAAGTTTATAGCTGGTCAAATTTCAGTGACGTACTTTTTATTGCGGATTTTCCAGGTTAGTATACATAGGGCAAACACGAAAGATTCGTGTCACAAGAGTTAAGGAGCATACTATACGCCTTCCTATTTTCTGCAGGGCTCTATTTGGAGAATTTCATCAACGATGATCTGCGAAATGTCACGCTGACAGTTCTGGAGGGTGCAGTGGCTTACGAAGTTGAAGAGGAGTCCGAACTGCAGTCTACAGGGGTCAAGTTGAGAAAAGGTGATAGTGTGCCGATCGAAGTCGGACTGTTCCACAAAATCCACACGATCAGTGAAACGCCATCTATTTATATGTATACTTTCACAAGAATTGAAAGTTCGGAAGAGGAAGACGTATCGGAGGGTAGACAGAATGTGATGTATTCACCATTTCCTTTGTTTGAGGATTTCCAGCAAAGGGTTGATTCGTTTTTGAAAATGTGGGGTCACATTGGCAACTCTGTGTTGTACTTGTTATTCGGCAGACCTTTTAATATAAGATCGAAAATAAAAGGTTGAATAATAGATTGGTAGTCGTCATACTCTAACACTAAATAATGATAGATTTTGTGACAGTAACTTTTTATTAAAAAACAATATTTAAATAAATCTGGGGATAACAATATATACAAAGAGTATTAAAACAATGAAAACTGTCAAAGTGCCTTACAATTCTTATCTCTATAATCCTACATATCGTATTTTTTCTTATAATATAGAATTGACTATCATTCTGACAGTTTTTCTGAGGAAGATAAAATAGTGAAATTCAGAGAGTGACCAGGAAATTTTCCAATAAAAGTAGGTACACATAGGATGTTCTTCAATTTAGGTAGGAAGGTACATACATTAAAATATTCTTCGAATGTTGCAATTTCAGAGCAAACTAGAACGAAAATTCACAATTCCCTGATTCAATTCCTCTCAGATATCGTACCTAGAACAGTACTATCAAAACTGGAGTTTCCTAAAGGGTTCACTGTTACATTTGGCCGGGAGTTTGACCTTGATGGGGCCCCTTCCAAGAAAAACGTCTCCATAGAACCCTTTCCTTTGACTTCTATGGCCCCTCTGCATTTCGTAGGGTACCCTTTGGCTTGGAGAATCTGATTGACTTCCTTCGTTATCTGTAAAACATGTAAATATACAGTATGTCTCACATCATATGGATTTTCTTTATTATTTATTTTTGGTAAAGAGTTAATCTTCATAAAAAGTTCTGAAATCTGAAATACAATCATTAGATATCAAATTTTTTCAGTCGTATACGCGGTGTGCCAAAAAATGTGAATTGTACTCAAGATTAAATGAGTACTTATACCTTCATATTTGACACACCGCGTATACTACTGAAAATATACAGGGTGTTCGCTAAAAGGAAGTCAATCCATTAACCATATATTCCTTGAACAAAAACAATGTGAGTTTCTAAATACCATTTTTCATTTTAGCCCTTCATATCCGATATACAGGGTGTCAAAGTTGGAAATTAAAAACTGTTTTTTTCTAATTACTCGCGTATTTGATAAGATATCAATCTCAAAATTGGTACATTATTTCAGCACAAAGAGTTACATCGTGTGAGGAGAACAAAACAGAAAAAACCTGTCAAATATTCAAAATACTGGGGGTCACGTACACACTTACCCCCATATTTTTTTTGTACGTGCGCTAATGACTTCCTATATATTTTTCATCAAGTGTTCAGTCATTTGTGAGTATTTTTTGTGTCTTGTAAAATTTCGATAGAATTATTTGTTTTTAAGATAATTCGAAAAGTACTGGTTATTGTTTGATGCCTATGCGGCTTATGGTAATCTCATAATGTTCACATACTCCTATTTATTTCGTCGAAATTGGAAGAGGGCGTATTTTTTACGTACGAAATGGTGAATATGGAATTACCGGGTGCTCAGAGCGAATGTAAAAAAAAAAAAAAAAAAGTGTAAAAATTATTTTAATACATTCGCTTTGAGCACCCGGTATTTCCATATTTACCTTTCCGTACGTAATAAGATACGCCCTCTTCCAATTTTGACGAAATAAATGAGTATGTGAACATTATGAGATTGCCATAAGCCGCATAGGCACCAAACATTAACCAGTACTTTTCGAATTATCTTAAAAACAAATGATTTAATCAAAATTTTACAAGAAACAAAAAATACTCAAAAATGATTGAACACTTGAAGGAGAATAGATAGGAAGTCATTAGCGCACGTACAAAAAAAATATGGGGGTAAGTGTGTACTTGACCTTCAGTATTTTGAATATTTGCCAATTATTTTCTGTTTTGTTTTCCTCACACGATGTAACTCTTTGTGCTGAAGTAATGTCCCAATTTTGGGATTAATATCTTATCAAATACGTGAGTAATTAGAAAAAAACAGTTTTTAATTTCCAACTTTGACACCCTGTATATCGAATATGAAGGGCTAAAATGAAAAATGGTATTTAGAAACTCATATTGTTTTTGTTCAAGGAATATGTGGTTGATGGATTGACCTCCTTTTAGCGGACACCCTGTATGTATAAAGATCGACATGCTAATATTTGAGGATGGGGGGGTGATTTTTTGACTCGTCTTAACTTTTGAGGAACAGGGTGATCAAGTTCAAAATAATAACTGAGATGATATCGTAGACATATTCATGAAATTTGGTACATGTCCTCAGTAGTTAAACTAAGACAGCCTCACCATAAGTATAGGGTAATACACGCTTTCCTGTGTTCTGTCGGAGGAGCGGAGTAGCAGGGGCGCAGTAACGTCACAGATCATAATCATCGACAGAGGGTGTTTGAGTTTAATGAAAATTGAAAAAACATATATATACAGGGTGTCCCACACGGATCGCGATCCCATGTTTTAGGGGGAAGCGGGGGGCGATGGAGTGACACCATCATCATTATCGACAGGGTGTTTGAGTTGAATGAAAATTGAGAAAAAATATATACAGGGTGTCCCACGGTTAGACCACCCACGCTTCCCCACTAAAACATGGGATCACGAACCGTGGGACACCCTGTATATATATATATTTTTTAATTTTCATTAAACTCAAACACCCTGTCGATGATTATGTCACTTCATCACGTTACTGCGCCCATGCTATTCCGCTCCTCCGCCAGAACACAGGCCGCGTTCCAGTTAAAACTAAAGCGTGTATTTCCCTATACTTATGGTGAGGCTGTCTTAGTTTAACTATGTATTATAAAGATCTAGGACGCTCTTTTTTTCGAGAAAAAACGGGAAAATTTTGATGGAAATGCTAAGCTGAGTCCCCACTTAACTTTTTCAAGTATTGTTCATTATTGTTTTTCAAGGACGTTCTTTCATCTTTTTTTTTTCTCCAGATTTCATATGAGTCAACAGAAGAACAGTTGAACATCTCAAAAATACTTATGGGCAACATTAATGAATTTTTGAATGGGTATTTTATTGCATTTTTTTCCTGAAGAGCTGATTTCATCAGTCTATCAAACTTTGCGTCTATAGATGAGATGATTACAGAGATATAAGGTGTGAAAAATTGAGATTTTTACTACATTAGCAACTTTCTGTGTCTAAACTATTCATTATCGGTCAAAACAGTTTCGATGTCCCTAACTTAACTTTTAATTTACTATCCACTGACATTCACTTGGAACAGATACAGGGTGATCAAAATTATTAACTTTTCAGCACCCAGTATTTGTTCCAAATTAAAAGTCAGTTGTTAGATAATAATAGTTTCGACACAAAAAATCGTGAAGTTGAAAAATCTCAATTTTTCATACCCTATGTGTGAGTAACATTTTAGTTACACCCCTGAAATCAAATCTTCAGGGAGAATCTGAAAATGCAATAAAATACAGGGAGTCCAATTAAATTTTTTATAAATATTGTTCATAAGTCTTTTTTGAGCTGTTTTTCTGTTGGCATAATATAAGTATAAAATCTACAGAGAAAAAATAGAGTACGTTCCTCGAAAAAAAAAAAAAATAGTTGGGGGTTCAATAGATGTATAAGTGAAAATACTGGAATCTTGCACCGTTTGACTCACATAGCAGACTGAATTTTACCATCACTAAAAGCTATACAGTTTGGGAAAAAAAGTATCTATGCGCATTTTTCAACTTTGATACACTGTATCCCAAAAGTTAGGACATTCAACATATACGTTCATATGAAGTTTTATTCTTGGAATGGATCCAAGAATGGCCCCCTTGAACATCAGCATATCATATATGTATACAGGTGGATCCCTCTAGAATCCCAAAATGTTGTTCACCTGTATCTTATCAGACATTCCTGTACTGTCCATTCTACTGGCCACGTTGACTGCATTGCCCCAGATGTCGTACTGCGGCTTCCTGGCCCCAATCACCCCCGCAACTACAGGGCCTACGTTGATGCCGATGCGGATGCGGAAGTGGTTGAAAGAATGCTCGTTGACTTCCGCCAGCAAATCTTTCAGTCTCAGAGCATAGTCGGCCATGGAGGTGACGTGTTTGTAGTCGATCATATCGCAAGTGCTGTGAGTTAGGCCTGAAATATTCACAGGGTGTTGAGTACTTTTTTAAAAATTTTTGGAGCGCACGAAATATAACTCTCCTCAGGATCAAAGTGGGGCGGAGTTGAAAACAGCTCAAAACTGTTGGAAATGAATTTCTAACATTCATATTGTTGTAGTAGGACAAGAAAAAAATTTTCAAAGAGTTGTTTTCCGAAGAAAACTGAATAAATCAATATTTCATTTACCAGGTACTTAATTATTTATATAAGAAGATGGAAAAACGAAAATTGGGGGTTGTGTATTATAGTGCAAATTAAATTTTTTGATATATTTATACTCGCCTGCATGAGACCAAGTTTCGATTTCGATTCAACGTGTTTTTAGAACGGATATGCTTATTTATTTTGAAAACAGTTGGTTTTTTTCTAAAAAAGAAATTAATGGCACAAAATCCACGAAATTAAATGATATATTGAATTTCTTAACTGTAAGATGTCAGAGGAGTGCTACGAAAAAGTTTGTGGGGGGAAAGGAAGCCTCTACCCTCAAAAACGTATCACCCTGTAGATTCTAGAAAACTATAAGTTGCTCAAAATGATGATCTTCTAGGAATTATCAACCACACTGAATTTCTACTTGATATCTTCGAAAGTGAACGAAATATATTAATTAATAGAAAAAAATAATTAAACTTCGATCCCCTGTAGCTTCTGATCGAGATCGGACTCATGTTTATATGAACTTTTTTGATAAAAATGATTAGATATCTATCATCCATTTCAGTTTGTGTCTTCAAAACTGAATCACCCTGTATAATTGTAAGATTTAAGTTGCAAATACTGCCTACCTACTTTATAAATCACATTTGCAAAAATGTTGGCAATTAGGATTATATCTTTGGATTCAAATACGTTCATCGATATGATTCCAATTAATCTCGCTTTTATTTATGGATTTCTCACGAATCTTTTAATCATCGAGCGGTTGAAGTAATGGCATGCACGAATGATACTGAATAATTTCCATAGCGAGAGTAATAACCAAGAGGGAATTTCCATCAGGCATTCCAGCTGGAAAAACAAAACGCAATCGACTCTAATTTTTCCGTCTGCACCGGAAGTGTACCTCTAAGGAACGATAGCCAGCCGGTCGTAAAATTCTTTACCTCTTCGTTATGCAAATTCGCCACAAAAAGCGTTCTCGATTCTCCGTCATTCATAGCAATTATCTATAATTTCCGCTTCACTGAAACTCCGCATTTTCACCCCGCCCGGCTCGAAGGACCAAAAAAGTTTATAATCCATATATCGGCATCATGGCCAGCGTAGCCTCGTGGTTGAAGCGTCAATGTTCTATCCACGTTGGATTGCCGGTAGGATCATTATACAGGGGAAAACAGAAGTTGCTCAACTTCTTTTAGATACTGTAGCAAAAGTGAGTGGCTAAACTTAGCTTCATTGTGTTTTGCATTGTAGTGTGATCAGTTTTCAACACAATGGTTTTTGATTCTAGTCGATTTCTCCTTTTTTCTACTCACATAACTAAAATGGAATTTAGCGTACGGATATGCACCACGCTAAATCATCGATTAATCACGGTAGTTTTTCAAACACACCTTCAGTGATCAATTGTTCGAGTCCTGCCCAGCATGTCAATTGTAGGAACTGTCAACTGTCATTTTCGGAGTGTGTAGCAATCAGAAAAGTGAAATAAAAAGGGAATGTTTCAGGTAGGTCGGTAGGTACCTACTTGCATATTTAATATAATAATAATAATAATAATTATATGTAATTTTATTGACTATTTCAACAAAAACAGAATAAGAGTCCATAAACTATTGAAAAGAACATAAGGAAAGGTCAAAAGGCACATGATCGAAGACTTTGACACCTCAGCAATCCGAAGAGTTTTTGTCTACTAAGTCAGATGACTTCTCATTTACAAAGGACGCTAAACAATTCATGTATCCTATAGACTGGACGCACATCTATAACCAATATTCAATTCAATTTCGATATTCAATTCCATTCTCTTTGAATTATTTTTTAGGTCAGCAGCAGGTTGGTTGATCTCATAATATTCGGAATTATGGGATCTTCTCGAAGAGAGGAATTATGAGTTCGTAGAAAAAGTATAGTATGTAACGCGTTTATAAACTCTACTAGACACTCGTTTATTAAACACTCGCTCAGCTCTGCTGCGCTCGTGCTTAAAGTACTATTATTTTAATAAAATCTGTATGTATGTAAAAGTTACGGGGCAATCAATTTCGCATTTTTTTTTCTGTAACTATGTATTCTATAGAAATCACCCGGACTATAACTTTAGAAATTAATGTACTCAGAATGGAGCTCGAAATCACGCAATAAGTAATTGAAATTGTGTTTTTTGTGATCACCTTGTAGATTACTTACCGGAGGCAGCCATGTACGTGGCGCCGGTCGACTTGATCTTTTCGATGTACCTGAACTTATCTTCCGAGAGGAGTTCATCGAAGTCTGCAATAATTTCGTTGAGCAATCGCAGGCATTCGACGCCTTCGTTGTTGGCCTCCAATTCGACGTAGAATTCGGAAAAGTTCGGAATCGAGGCGAACATTATGCACACGAAGTCGCATTGCTCGTGGTAGAGTTCCTGAATTAATTCGAAAACATCTATAATCAATATAATGTGATATTATACAGCTTTATATTGATTCTTTTGTATCTATCCGAGAACCCTTACGCGACGCCACTGGTTACATGGAGATTTCACAATTGACATCTGACATTCTTGACTGTCTGGTGTAAACAAATAAACAAAACTATCGCGCCATTTTCTCTTTCTCTCCTCTTATTTGGATTTTGTAGTATTTGTAGTGTGTTCTTATTAGTGAAATAGACAGTGAAAATCTCGTGGAATTTTAGGAAAACCTTCATTGATGGCGATTGATGGGCTGGGAAATGGAGAAATTGCTGATGCATCGGCTTGTTTTGTTGGAAACAGAGGTTAGTGAATCTCGTTGAATGTTGCATGCATGATATTTAGATATTTCGTTCTATAAAATAGGTAGGTTTTTAGGCTCGCACTCGCAAGCATTTTTTTTTTTTATTAGGAATATTAAAATATTTCCTGACCTCAAGTCGAATTCAAAATTAAAGCCTTGCAGGAATCTCTCCCATTGCAAGGAAAATTGGAATAAAATCTCATACTGGCATAAAACTGGTTATTATCAAATCGAAAAAAGGTTGTATACAGATACAGAAATGTACTGTTTTCCAGATAAATACCTATGCTGGGTAGGTATAGTATACATAGGTACAGGGTGTCCCATTTAAATGTGCCACCCCCCTATATCCTCATAATTCTGAATATATTTTGGCCATTCAAATGCTGGAATAATTTTTTACGATTTTTTTGAATCTGTGCTCACTTTTTCTTTATATCAACAAACTACAGGGTGGCTAAAAAGGATTATCTAAATTTTATTCGATAATAATAGGTATATCAATAACTCGATGAATAATATATAGGGCTCAAGTTTCGTTTAGCTGAAATCAGTTATGAAAAAACTGTTGCTATGGCAATGATCGTCATAGTAACGAGTAAACAAAAACCCGATTTTCGTGGTGAGGAAATGCGTAGTTGCCAAGTTGTATCGGGTTTAGTATAGCTGAAATCAGTTATGGAAAAACTGTTGCCATGGCAATGATCGTCATGGTAACGAGTAAATGAAAACCCGATTCCCGTGGTGAGGAAATGCGTGGTTGCCAAGTTGTATAGGGTTCAGTTTGGCTGAAATCAGTTTTAGAAAAACTATTGTCATGATGGCAACGATCGTCATGGTAACGAGTGAACAAAAATCCGATTTCCGTGGTGAGGAAATGCATGGTTGCCAAGTTATATCGGAGAATTATTGCTTCATTCATACATTTTTTAAACACTTCAATGTACCTAACCATCCTTTGCGTGCTGATCTATTCGACAAAATCAAAAAGAAACAGAGCCATTTTGGAATATTCATCACGAGGTATCGCGCAGGATATAGGAAGAGAGACTACAGGTACTGATTGTCTAATACAGATGGAAACATCTCGTTAGGCCCACCCACATTTCCATTTGCCTTCATTTCGATTCACACATACCTTTCTTAAGGCGCACATTTTGATTCAGCAACAGTCTTCGAACATACATGAACGATGCCTTGCTACCAAATCTGAACGATGTTGGAAAATATATGTTTTTCAAGAAGAAGGTTGATTCAAGTCGAGTTAGGTTAGATTGTTTGGAAAAAGTAGTGCCCTTTTCTATGCAGTCTTCAAACACACGCGAATAACGATGCCTTGCTCCCAAATCTGATCGATGTTGAAAAATATATTTTTTCTAAGAAGGTTCATTTAAGCCGAGTTAGGTTAGATTGTTTAGAAAAAGTAGTATCCTTCCTTATGCGCTATTTGTTCCTCACTATTTTGTCGCTCGCTATTTGTTCAATAACGAAGCCTATTTTTTCCTGACGTTATTTCCATATATGATCGTCAGAGAAGTAGTAATTTTGGGAATTAATCAACGACGAACAGTCTTCAAGAAATTGATAAGAAGGGTATCCATTCGAATCGAGTTATTGTTTGAATACTAGCAAGAACTTTTGTGGAACAAAATTTGAGGCTGATTTCAGCTATACTAAACCCGATACAACTTGGCAACCACGCATTTCCTCACCACGGGAATCGGATTTTTGTTTACTCGTTACCATGACGATCGTTGCCATGGCAACAGTTCTTCCATAACTGATTTCAGCTATACTAAACCCGATACAATACTTGGCAACCATGCATTTCCTCACCACGGGATTTTGTTTTCTATTTACCTGTAACCATGACAACGGTTGCCATAGCAACAAATTTTCCATAACTGATTTCAGCTAAACGAAACTTGAACCATATATAGTTTTGGATTCAGATTGACGCGGGCTTGTTCATCGAATTATGGAAAAAATATAGATCATTTCATTTGGAAAAAAAAATAAAGGAAAAGTAAGCACAGATTCGAACAAATCGTAAAAAAATATGGTAAAACTGCATTTAGCATGCGATGGGTTTTTTTACGATAATTTTTTTTGGTACTTATGTATTTTGGTCTGAAAACACGAATTTGATAATGAAAATGTGAACAAACCATTATTTATTGAGATATTCCAATATACAGTTACAAATTT